AGCTTGCTTTATCATATCTGATGCTTGCCTAAATATCTTCAGATGTGAAACACTCCCTTTAATGACCAAAGTGTGGCAACAAATCTGGCAGGTCCGGGTACGGGATGCTTGCGCAGACTGTAATGGCTCCCGTTCTCGGTCTGTGACGGCTCCTCAATCCGAGGTCGCACAGGCACTGAATCATCAGCAAGTGGCATTGAAGGAGCTCGTAATAGAATCATGGGTACAGCATCAAGTAAATCGTTTGGCCGCTGCCCTCACGCCGTACCACGTCGAGCATGATCCATGTGCCGCTGTACCCCTTATCCGTCGTCTAATGGCACAGCCACTTAAACCCCATCTGCCTCCAATCCCACACCTGACAACCATGTCCGCCGTTCTGCTCTCTGCAGCCTACCCACAGACGTTACCCAAACAGTGTCGTTAACGCCCACCGATCTGGCCCTCGAGCCGCAGTGTCGGGGCCACTTTTGAGAGCGCTGTCATTTGCGCGCATCGTGTTTCGGGTCTGGCCGAAGCCTATCTGTGTACGTAGCGGTCGCTACAACGACAGTTCAGCACTCTTATGCTCGCACAAAAAGCGAGCGCCTTTTCACTCGCAAACGCTTGCAGCAGGAGCTTGCGTAGAGCACACGTAGAAACATCGCGTTCGGCTGTATGAGCAGATTGAGGCACAAAATGTTTTCAAACGTAGAAGCTTTAATCAGGATAGTTTTAGGCAGGTGACAGATATAAAACCATACTATACCAGTGCTGACGTCACAGTTCAGTGGTGACAAAGGGCTTATCAATGTCCTCAGATCATTGTTTTTTTTGTGAAAATTTTCAGCCACGATTCACTTTACGTACCTATCAGCATAAAATAACGAATAGCTAAGCTGATTACTAGTCGTAAGAAACGTCGCTGGCCTCAGCACCTTGCAGCGAACGTGATCTGTTTGATACGCGGCGTTTTCAGTCACCGTGCCATTTGCGGCCGACAGCTTGGAATACTCGCCACGCGGCTGTAATTGAGGCTCAGTGCAGGGGCTGTAGGCTGTCGTTGGTTGTGTTCGTGTCGCGGGAAGCTCGCCGGTTTCAAGGACATAGCTAATTGTCAGTTTATTTGCGGTGTTGTCCGGCTCCTTAAGGTTTTACCAAGGAGGTTGTCCCTCAAAATAGCGTTAGAAAACCCTGCGGGTCTTGGAGACTCAGGGTGTGTGAACATTCGAACTGTATTTGAACAAGTCAACAGAGGACGCTGAAGCGATGCGTATCAGGAATTTGTCCGGTGCTTTCTGCTGCTAAGAGGAACAGTGGCTTTGCGGTAAGCGGCCGGGTATCGCCGGTGTAAGCCTGACACACTGCCTGCCGCACCGAAGGTTTAGCGAACTGGCCGTTTGACATATGTGAGGTGACACACCTCTATCATCATTAGATTGCACATACGGTCAAATGAAGGGATAGAGGCGTCAAGGATGTCTTGTGCATTTGCCGATTTCAACAGTTATGAGTTACTTACTAGATTCCGCTAATTGGGGCCCCTTCAACCGGAAGCTCGCTAAATTTGCGGTACGGCAGGTGGTCGTGATTGCAGCAAATACCTACCGGCAAAATTTGCAAGGATAATCACCGACGATCTTTTTACAGTCTGCACACTCTTGATTCGTGATACCATGTCTTATTTTCTAAAACTATAGGATAATGATTGCGGCAGAACAGTGTTAAGGACAGGCTTGTCTTCGACTCGAGCTGAATCGTGAATCGGCTCACAAGCCAATCGCTTTCGGGTGAGCCGCGAGCTGAGTCGGCCCGTTAGGTAAATTGCCACTTTGAGCCATCAGCTGAATCACATTTTTGGTAGATTTCATCAGCTGAATCGTAAGCCAACCATTTCTAATCATGTCGTGTCAGTGAGCCATAGGGCTCAAATTTAAATGATTACGTCGATTTCAAAACTGTTATCAAAACAATTTGGTGGACTCACATTTAACTTGAAGCCGATGTGATAGCAAATGATGATGATATTAATAGTGATGTAAAGGCACCTAGTGTGTCAGCGGTTGCTCATTCTTTGCCTCAGTATCCCCTTTTTGCATTGGGGGCCTCAAGTCAGCATCAGGGGGGGGGGACGCAGGCCCTCTGAAAAAACAACACTTAGTAACACCCCTGCCTGGAACACAACGCAGTTATGAATACAGCATTTCAGTCTACTTTGATCCCACGCGTACACAACGTGTATCTACGTCAACAGAGACTACGGTGATTTTCAGACGGTTACTCAGGTCAGCACAAGAACATATTGATGTCTGCAAGCTTTTGTCGTCATGACAAGTCTTTGGACTTCAGTGAAAATGGCTTATTTTTTTCTAACTCACGCGACAAAAATGCGTGCGACGGCATTGGCGGATATGTTAGGCAAACAGCATGAGACGATTGCTTGCAGCGGCGGTGGAAAGCCGAATACGGGGCCTAGGTGTCATATTATCATTACAGGTAAGATGGAGGTAACGTATAACAAGAGAGGTAAGACCGACTTCATGGACGTCTGCTCATGGGGCTGTGCCCATACCCACGCGCTGCTCATTCCAGGCTAGCTGCACCGCACCCGTTACCTAATCGTTTGCCGTTCCCCAGCACTTTAATTGAAAAACTTCGAAAAGTTTCATAATAAAATCACATCCTTCGCGAAAGATTTGTGCACACAAATTTGCGACTATGAAGTATTGTGGGCAGGAGCAGGGATGTAGCTTCCCATTCCATTGGGGAGGGGGGGGGCTTCAGCACTTTCAATGAAGACTCCAGGACCGCCTCCCCCAACTTTGGGGAGATAGCAGGCCAAATCAGAGGAAATCCTTTTGTTGACGCAGTTTTAGGGACAGGCTGAATCTCCCTTATCCGTCAATGTGTAGTCTCCTCTCCATCTCATATCGCAAAACGACACCCACGAGTACGATTTGCATTCAAATATCTGCGCATGAAAAACCGACGCGAAGGTTTGGTTACGAAGTTTTGCAATTGGTAGGAAGAAATTTGTTCCGACTAAATGCGATGCAAAGTTTGGGTCCTGGCGTGAACCCATTCACTTCAACTGGTTTCAAAGTATACGCGTATGGCTCTGACGAGATGGTTTCGTTCATTTTGAGGATGAACTAAACGGTCAACAAAGCCTCTTGACAACCCCATGCTACAACCCCATGCTACAGCTGACAGCCCATGGGACTGATCGGCTCCAAACCTTTAACAATCGACCCGCCATAGACGATAACCTTTCCATTCCAGAAAATGCTGACCTTATGTAACGTCAAAGGTCAACAGAAACGGCATGAACCACCTGAAATCAATTCGCAAACAGCTGAGTGCTCTGGATCTAAATGGCGTTTGACCATACCCAAGGTCAAACATGTCATGGCAAGGATAGGATATCGATCATGGCGCATCGATTAGTGAGGGTTTCTTGCCCACGGTGCCATAGACTCGGAGCATGGGCTTGTCTACATTAAATTTTTGGTGGTTTTGGGCGTTTTCAGTGGCCTCTGGCCAGACCCAAGGCCACTGTGTTCTGGAAAAGATTGTTTATCGACTACAACACATCAATTAGTAAAGATTTTGTGACAGCGGCTCCAAAGGCTGAGAGCATGGGGCTGTCTGCAACCACACTTTTTTGGCTGTTTTTTTAGGGGTATTTTGGAAACCTTTAATCTAAACCAACGTAGCCATGTTCTGGAAGGGATAGCGTATCGATTATAGCGCATCGATAAGTGGAAGTTACATGCTAATCGGTCACGTAGGCTCGGAGAATGAGGTTGTCTGCTGCCAAGTTTGGTGATTCTGGGCGTTTTTGACAGCCTTTGAGCTGGCTTAAGGTCCCCATGTTCTGGAAAGGATACGTTGTCGACCATAGCGCATCGATCGGTGAAGGTTTCGTGCTCATCAGTTCCATAGGCTCTGAGCATGGATTATCTGGGAGGCCATTTTTTCTGCTTTTGGTATTTTTGGTGACTGCTGATCTGACTTAAGGTGGCATCTTTCCGAAAGAGATAGTTGATCGGCCATGCCGCATCCATTGATAAACGCTTTGTGTCGATCGCTCATATATTCGGTGTATGGGCCTTCTGCAAGCTAATTTCAGACTGTTTCGGCCATTTTGGGAGCTTTGACCTCATATAAGGTCACTATGTCACAGGATAGAATATTGACCATGACGCGATATTGATCGATTGGTGAATGTTTTGTGTGGATGGGTCCCATAGGCTCGGTGTATGGGTTGCCCCATTTCTGCAGCCTTATTTCACAGTTTTGGGCATTTTTGATGTCCTTTGACCTGATCCAAGTTCACCACATTCTGGAAAGGAAAGTTTATCAACCAAGTGATATAGAAAGGTAAGGGTTTGGCGTCGATCTGTGTACAGGCTCGGAGCATCTAGTTTTTAGCACGCACTCGAGTGGGGGGTCAAATTGACCCGCCCCCGAATGTTTTTCCAGAATGGTTTCCGAACGGTGCGGCGTATCCGCGCCAAATATTGCATAGCTGTTCACAATTGAATAGCGGATCGTTTGGTGTATCGTTTAGATGTACCTTGTAAGGTCATCGATCTACCGCAGGTCAAAGTTAATTCATGGTTTCAGCAAAGTCAATTTGTAGGGAATCGTTCAATCTGATGCAACACCGGAGTGTTTGAATTTGACTTTTGACTTTGACCCCCACCCGAGCGAAGGGTATCTAGCCGGCCACCCGGGCGCTTGTCGATAGATTTTATCGGCCGTTTAATCTCTCCTTTCATTTCGGCTAAATTTTCATACGCACTTAAGCAACAGAAAAACGAGATGTGCAAAATTGTTATTTTTCAACACGTCTATGTTTGGAAATGTTTATTTTGGGCTTTTAGAGGTTCAAGGCATCAGTGAAGCGAGACAGTAAAACTGTTGCAAGAAGCCTCACTGAATTTTGCGGCAATGCCAGCGCTTCAGACTCAAACTATGACATGTACAAGGATCCGCTTCAAATATTTGGCCTGTCTGGGGATGGTACGTTGAGATTCCATACCAACCAAGGAGTTGCTTGTGACATTTAAAGCGACGGTCTTTTTCAACCTCAGCAAAATATCTGCATATTCCAGGTTAGTATGTTTTGCTCCGCAGCAACTTGTACGCCATCAGGGAGTTACCGTCTTAGAGCACAAGCAATCGCTGGCTGCCACTTGCCGGTGTCCTGAATGTTATGTTTTGATGTTTTAAATGCCTGGGGGGGGGGGGCAACATGGCGACAGCTGTTAAAGGGAGCACTCCACATTTGTATGGTGTTTTGGATTGAAATAATGATACTGAAGATCATTTGACACAGTTCACAGCCTTGTCCTTTGTAAGGCCTAAGGTCATCTAGTTTCTGAGCTGCACCCCTGCAAAGATATGCAAATTTTTGTGAGGCTAGTTAAGGGTCACCCACGCATCAATGACCTAACATTTTAGTGTGCCCATTTAGGATGGATACCTAATGCCAGTTTACAGCAATTTGAAGTGTACATAGGTAAATGAAAAATTTGGTGAAACCATTAGTGACATCAACAGGGTATGATGATATTGAAGCAAGCATCAGATATGAAGAAGTAAGCTCACTTAAAGCTATTATTATGCTTCTAATTGGAAAAGACTGCTGTAGCAACCATAATTCCTTTTCCAACAAATATCCCTCAGCACATTATTGTTTAATTGATTCACAGTGCATTGCACAATATGAATTGAGGGCCTTTTGATCACCATTATACCAGAAAATCTTGCTCACAAATGCCAGACATTAGCAACTTAACCATTAGGTCTTTCTGACTTACCTGCATTCTCATACATTTATCTTTCGGAGGCCTGCAAACGTTGGTAATGCAAGCAAGTTTGTATAAGACAAGTGGGAGTGACATCTTTGATAAAATAGGAGTTGACTGCAGAAACACTGCTATGGTACACAGTTGCGGTGGGCATATAGTTGCATTGACTAATAAATAAAAAGTTGAAAAACATAAATAGGCAATATAAATATGTGCACACCTGATTGTAGCTGCTGACTTGTGAGAGTCAAGCATCAGCAACAAAACCAAGCTCATAAAAAGAAAGAGGAGTCTGCACAGCAAAGATACAACAGGCCTGTAGAGTGGAAGATGTGAAAGTCATGATATATTCCTGAGCACACCTCTTGGTGCAGCAAGATGACTCCATGAAGTCTCCAGAAGTCTCTGAGTGTCTTCATAATATCACACATTGATTTTTGATGTCATAGCCTGGCAAAAAAGAACAGTGAACAAAAAGGGAGGTAAAGCAAGGAAAGTTAGAACTGAGGGCAAGGGAGGATACAAAGGCATGCTGAAATGCTAAAAAGGCATGCTGAACAGACAATGCTAAAAAGGCATGCTAAAAAGGCAAGGCATGCTAAAAAGGCAAGACATGCCAAAAAGGCATGCTGAAAACAAGGAACCATCCCCACCACACCCCCACTAAAATAACCAGAGTCACATGAGCCCTGGGTTGAGAAATTTTGGATCAGATCTGGTCAGTCACTGTGCATGACAATGCAGATTGAGATGACAGTAACCTGTGATAGGTGTAAGCCTCCACATCCACTGCCCCTGAAGTGTCCCTGCCTGTGATCTATAGCACTTCAACAAATTAGCATATAGCTGAATAATGTTTCAGCAAATTGGCATTGGTAAAGATAAAGTGACACATTGATAAAGAGACCCTGTCAGTAATTGTGCCCAATGGAGAGAATTTGGATGGGCCAAACATACTGTTGAAGTCCATGCATGCATTTTTTAAACTTTTCTGAGCACCCTTATGATCAGGACCAGTTCATCTTCTGGACAGATTTCACCAGCACACTAACACGCGGAAGCCTTTACAAGCTCTTGAAGAGACCCGCGCAGTCTGTTTTTTTAAGACGATGCACACACCCGCACTTCCCAGCTCCGACTTAAAGAGGACATGTGGGGTCCGATCAATCAGGTACCGTATGTGGAAGGCTGCCAAGCGGGAACGGACAAACAGTTGAAGATCCGGATCCGAAAAAATAATCCGTGAACTTAACGTGAAGATGCTGCGCAAGGATGCCGGAGAGGGTGGTCGTGTGTGCATACCCAGCAGATGCATTACCGTGTACCCAACAGACGCGTGTACCCGGCAGACGCATTCCTTGTCACAGCTCTGCAACACCGCCTTCGCCGTGAGCTAAGTAAAATGCGGCTCATTTTCGAAAGTCTTGGCTTCTGTGAAAAACAAAAGTAGCCTTCCACAAGTATTTGAACATTGTCGAAGTATGTTACTCACCCGTTTAGTTTTGACCTTGCATTGCCCGTATCTTTGCGATTGTTTATGTCACTATCTGGAGAAAAAATATTGGGCTATTGTGTCATTCATTGCTATCAATTACTGAGGCGTTCCACTATTTTCTTTATTTCCATGCATCGTCTGCCGGAAATTTCGCCAGTTTGGAGTGAAATTATGAAAAGATGGTGTGCTAGGCTGAAAACTACTGTGATTTTTTTTCTCAAAGGTGTTCACAAAAGATGATGGATGTGTTTGTGTAAATTCGCAAATAAGTTGGGGTTTGAGCAGTGAACGATGGCTTAACTTGCATTCATAACACACTAAAACTGGTTTCTCCCCTGATTTGACCCCCTTGCCCGTCAAAGTTGGCGAGGGCATGAGTCCTCCCCCCCCCCCAATCTATTAGAAAAGTATACCCCCGCAGATATAGCAGCCGTTTTAAAGCCGGGAAAGCTTAGCATTTTTTTTTAGCTTTGCTGTGTGCGAGTTTGTTCATCCTATGTTGAAAGTTTTTGGCCATAACGCACGGGAAAAGTGCCGTGTGGGAGGAGAGGGAAGAACAATCGGATAGTAAAAACTAAGAACGAGTAGATCGTCTTTTTTATGTAAGTGAGTATAAAGTTCCGGCCACTTGTCTGCATCCCAGATACCGTCCACTAGTTCGCATCACAGACAAGAGATGACAGCACCTCCTCGCACAGCACACAGAAAATGACTGCCGTTGCCGAGCGGACGTAGCCAGTCGGCCTAATAGTAAGGGATATGCGATGGGGTGGGGTCTGCCTGGATAAGATAAGCCAAAGCTGAGGTGATACACAGAGCATTGTCGGGATCCGCGAAGGCCCCTGGAGTCCCTAGCCCGTTCCCGAGTCAGACTGCTTCAACGTGTTGATTCCACGCAGCGATTTTCATCTGGGAGCATCGACATGGCGCAGCGCGAGCAATGCTATACGTTATTAGCGTGCGAACCCGTGGCGGAGTGGACTCATGCTCGCGGTGCAAGACATTGGTGCCGGGCACGATCACCGCGGCGAGGCCGCCACGTAGCCTGGCTGTCGAGAAAGGTCTGCTGGCGACTCTCCAAGCGCGATCAACATTGCCCATGCGGCCGCGTCGGAGTTTTGGGAGGCTGACCTGTTGGCAGCTGGCCAAAAGCGGCCCCGCCTGACCCGTGCGGGTGCCGGAGTGCTAGGGTACGGATGTGCCGGAGTACCGGTGTACGGACGTGCCAGAGTGCCGGTGTACGGACGTACTTGAGTTCTGGCGTAGGGACGTGCTGTAGTGCCGGGGTGCAGGCGTGTCGGATCGCTGCGACTTGTACGACTTTTTGTCTATGAAGAAGGTCGTAGGGAGAATTATCCTAAGTGCTGTATTGGTGACATGGCGGCAGGATCATTGAACACGAACAAACTCCGCTTGGCTTGTGCTTTCAAAATAGTACCGTCCATGCAAAACTAGCCATGTAACATTTGTTTACCCCGATAGGCATGGAGCAGCAGGTTGGACTTAAAGGGAGACCAGGGAGAAGCGAAATCCCGAGGGAGCAGTGGGACGAAATGGTGGGGTTTAGATGGGTAAGATCCCGATGTGACCTTGTACTTAAATTATGGCCACTGCACTGGCTACGATGTCTAACTTCAGGTCTGCATCGGTATCTATGAATGGAGATGTGATAATTTGCTTTCTTCCTTGCCTCCTCACGTTTGTGTGGCCCTCGTTTGCCTCATCCGGACCCGCCATTACTCCTTGGCCAGTGCATCCTTGCACCGCAGGCCTCTGTTCTGAAGTGGTTCAACTGCGTGGCGTCTATAAGCCCAAACGCCTAGTGGGGTGTAGCGGTGGACCATATGTGGCAATATATCACGCCCTAGGACAGTGTTACGTAGGGAAACGGTCACGGCTCAGGGGCGATGCGTTAGCCCGTGGACGCGGTGGGGTGGGACGCGGTGGTGCCGGCGAGTCGCACGCCGATCGTGTTGCGGGTGGGCTCGAAAGGAGTATAAGAGGTGCTGCTGGGGCGCGTAGAGTGGGTCTCCCTGTCGGCGTTGTGTGCGGCAGTTTGCCGTTGTGTGTGAGGTGGTCCAGCCGCGATGTGACCCCGAATACATGGGGTCAAAGTATTTTAACCGTGAGGCCGCCCAGTCATGTGACTAAATAAACTGTGCTTTTCCAGGAGAAGCGAGGATGCGGAAAAGTGACTTTGTATACATAAGTGGCGTACCAAATCTCGTCATAACATACGGGCAATGGATCACGGACTGCACAGCGTCAGAAGTGGTCCTGGTCATTCCGGGTAAGCTGTTGACGCGGAAGGATGTTCTTCCAAGAACAACGTGTCTCTGCAACTAATGCAAATACTCCGCCCCCGCGTACGTTGGCTTGGGTGGATGTCGTATTCCAGCTCTTCTGCTTCCTGTTCAGCTGCGCTAAATGCCGCGATCAGTAGCAGTGCACGAAGGGCATTACGAGCTAGCTTGGGTAGATGTCCTATTCCAGCCCTTTTGCTTCCTGTTCAGCTGCGCTAAATGCCGCGCTCAGTAGCAGTGCACGAAGGACATTACGAGCGGTCAAAGCCTTGTTAAAGCAGATTCGATCTGTCCACGGGCAGACGGCGTCGGGGAACTGTGGGATATGACCAGTCTCCAGCCGGTTATAGAGATTATGCCTAAGGCCTCGACATGTCGGCTTCGTACTCAATTGTGAGAGGTTCAAAGTACTCAGATAGTACCCTTCTGATGTAATGTATTTGAACTACCCTGCTCCTGAAAGAAGTTCATCGCTATGAATGTTGTTGAATGCTTAGATAACAGTGGCTTGGTTGAAGTCCTTCCTTTTGCTACCGGCCAGGCGGCGGACTGAGCGTCGTGAAACGCTTGCTCCACCAAAAATGTTGTTTCATCGTACTGTTTTGCGAGCAGAAACTTATAAAAGCAGCCTTTTAACCCCAAATTGCGGGCATATGTGATCTTTACTTCTTTCTCTGCGTCTTCATCGCCATGCTGTGGAGAAAAATGATGCCATAACGAAAGCAGTGCGACGCGGGAGTGATCCTTTCAATGAATCTGGTACTTCCATAGTGGGTCCTGGGTCTTAGCTGGTTTCTGTCGGGGGGGGGGGGGGGGGGCAGTCCGTATAACATTAACTAACCGTAAATTGTCTACGTAGTTTTAGCGCCCCGGGCCGGGCCCACGTAGTCCGTCACACTGTTGACGGGCTATGAGTTTACAACGCAACCAGTGACGGTACCGCCATGCGGGAAGTGATACGGATTCAGCAGAAAGTGATGTGGATTTTTAAAGTTTGCTGAAGTAACCGCAAGGCATCTACACGCGAGTCTTGACCATTTCCGATTTTCTTCCAACCTTCCCATACTACCCAAATTTAGCATCTTATTTGGCTCAGTCGTGATGTGTAAAATTTGGTCATAACTTTGAAAAAGCACAAAAACAAAAACAAAACCTGTGCCATTTGGCCAGGACAGCGCTTCATTGAACTGAGCTTGCGGTGTCGTGAGCCAACCGAGAAGGCTCAGTATTGATCAAACCATTGCAATGCCTGTCAGCTATCGAGAACCGGAGAATGCCACCGTTTTACCGACGGTGTCGAATACCATTGTCCGCTGTGGCTTAAACGGACTGAAGTTGGGCAATGCGAACTGTACAGACGGAATATCCCAATTGCCAGGCGTTGGGCACATGCCATTTTTTGTTCTCGTCGCTTTGGTTATGGCCGCCAAAAGCGCAAATATCCCTGATCGATCCATTGTTTAGACTGAAATGTTCATTCGTTCAGCCAACAATCTTCAAGCATCGTGCGCGCGTATCATTTTGCGAACGCAATATAAAGCAGTGGCAATGGTCTCTCATGAAAGACGGCCCAATGCATTGGAAAGACCTATTTGTTTTTGGGTCCAGGGGTGGCTGGTACCATTTGGTTGAAATTTGGCTTGTTTTACATGCCGATAACACTGCGGCCTGCTGTGAACTTGCTCGGCCTACGCCGTACAAAGTGCCCCGCTGGTTATTTATTCAGTGTTGCTCTTGTTTTCCTCTCACCCCTTGGTTGAAGACGAGCAGTTTTGCAGTAAATCGCCCATTTGAATCGTAGTAGCTTTTTGCTGGACTGAAAGATATTCCTCCAAATGAGGAGGAACGGTCTTCGATTCGCAGGAAATCCTGGGCTTATCGAATACTACGACAAATTCATGGCAACCCTGTATCAAGAGCTGGGCGGAGACATTCCTGTGTGGGGCATTAGCCATGGCGGCCACAGCCTGCCGGACCGTGTGGACACCCTGCCAGACCTGAATGGTAAGTACACAAGCCTCTGGGTGAGACATTCTGACCGCTCAGAGGCTCTCGGCCTCACTGAATGGCCGAAAGTGCGCAAGCCTCTGGGTGAGACATTCTGACCGTTCAGAGGCTCTCAGCCTCACTGAATGGTAAGTGCGCAAGCCTCTGGGTGAGACATTCTGACCGTTCAGAGGCTCTCGGCCTCACTGAGTGGTAAGTGCACAAGCCTCTGGGTGAGATATTCTGACCGTTCAGAGGCTCTCGGCCTTACTGAGAGGGGCACGGTGCCGTGCATGCACTGCGGACGCTGCGCAGTGGAGCTAGGCTCTCCGTCACGAGGCACGCCTGGAGCCTGTTGCGATGATGGCATGACTGATAACAGTAACTACCTTGGCAACCGTGATAGGCAGCGGCCATGTCTCCCAGCATTACTCTCTTAGCTGTGCTGGGCAGTTACTCTGTTGAAAGGACGATGTTCGGAGAACAGCGTGATGGCGTGATGTTTTATTTCCATCGATCCCCTCCCCTCCGGGCTTGCGCCGGCGCGCGGCCGGGCCCCTGGTGCCGAGGACACGGAGGGCCTGACAGAGATCCGGCCGGCTCGGCGTGGAGCGAGGCCACGGCCGGGCCCCTGGTGCCGAGGACACGGAGGGCCTGACAGAGATCCGGCCGGCTCGGCGTGGAGCGAGGCCACGGCCCGCTCAGATCACCGCCGCAAGTTCGTGATGAACGGCGCGCCCGGTTCACGACCGACTCGGCAGCACCTCACCGGGCGTGGGTGGCCGCTGTTTTGCAGGGAACCCCTCGCTGTACGACCTGGAGGGGCAGACGGAGCAGAAACTGCAGTTCGTCCGGACGCACGTGCCAGCCGGCTCGCGGCTGCACCTGGTGGGCCACTCGATCGGCAGCCAGATCACGCTGGAGGTGCAGCGCCGCCTGCCGGCCGGCCGCATCACGTCCTCCTTCCACCTGTTCGGCACCGTGCAGCGCATGCGGCAGTCACCGGCCGGGCGCCGGCTGTGGCTTCTGTCGCAGTACCTGCGCGGCCTGCTGCTGCTGCTGGCCGCCCTGGTGACGCTGCTGCCCCGCCGCTGGCAGCGCGCGCTGCTGTGGCTTGGGCTGCCGGCCGACGCGCCGGCCGACGCGCGCGACGTGACGCTGTCGCTGCTGCGGCCGGCCGCGCTGTCGCGCGTCGTCGCCATGGGGCACGACGAGCTGCTGCGCGTGGACCGCCTGGACGTCGAGCTGGTGCGCGCGGCCGCCGCCACGGCCCGCTTCCTGTTCTCGCCGACGGACCCGTGGGTGCCGCCGGAGAACGTGGCGCGGATGCGCCGCGCCGTGCCCGAGCTGGACGTGGTCACGTGTCCCCACGACTTCCCGCACGCCTTTGTACTGCACTCGGACGCCGTCCTCAGCTGCAGCCGGCGTGTTGCCGACTGGGTCCGAATGTTCGCAGTGCACGCGAGATGAATCGGCTAAATTATACGGCCAGTAGGAATATAAGTGCTAAACGGCACAGGCAGGGTTATTACCAGGTGCACCTTTGCACTGCAATGCTCGTTATCGAGTTGTGTTTACCAGGTTGTGTTTATCAGGTTGTGTTTAGGATATTGTGCGTGGTTTGTTTCGCTTTAGAGTAATCCATGTGCGTGGTAATCGGAGACTGCTGCGATCCATCACTCAGAAAATGCGAAGCGAGCACGAGATATGATGAAGTAAGATTGCTTGTTAGTATTGGCATGCTTTTAAAGGGAGTGTTCCACATTTGTGTAGGGTTTTGAACTGAAATAGCCATCTTGACCATCATCCGGTGTAGTTCACAGCCATGTCCTTCGTGAGATCCAGAGTTCTATAGTTTCTGAGCTACACGCCCGCGAAGATGTCCAGACTTAGTGCAGACCAAGGTCACCCAGGCATTCATGACGTTCTAATAACGTCATTCAAATCCTGCCATTACGTTGGCCATGCGGTGCTCAATGCCAAGAAAAGTATCATTGTCGAGTCTATCATATATGGCGTTCATGAGCACGATTTCCATACATAACGCTGTCAAATGACTCAACCAATGTTGTGCAAGGTACGATGTCGCAATTAAACCGCATTGAGGAGCATGTTTGCTAAATAGAGAAACTGTGGTGTACAGTCACCTTTCCACTTTAAGGTATACCAATAGTTATAAGTGAGCTTATTTCATTATACCTGATGCTTATGGAAAAGGCAGTAGTAAAAGCCTCATTCCTGGAGCGAAAGCCATGAGAACCGGGATATAAATATGTCGATATTTATTTCGGCAACATGCCTTCATCGAAACGAATAGTAGAGGAGACAGACAGACAGCCTTTATCATATGTGTCTACTGTATTGTCTATATGCTTGATGTTCCCCGCAAATGCACTTAACAACTTTCGTGATATCTAATGCTTGGCTTCATTATCTTCAAATAGGGAACATTTCCTTTACGTGGAGAAGACCGTCCTAGACAATAAATTTATCTGTTCAATGAATGTGCTCCTCAATACGCAATTATTTATTTACGTCATGGAACGTTTGCATGACGTCCGGGTGCTGCCAAATTGGCCGCGCGAAATCGCCGCACTAGTACTTGTAGTGCTTCGAACTCGCCGAAAGATGGCAGTGCTGTGCTGGAAGTGTTCGCTGAGCCAAATATCGTTGTGTGCGCGTGTTTTGCTTGTTGTTGGGGTGTTCTTACATACTTGGCCCTGAATTTAAGAAATTAACTTGTCTTCACATGCCCAGTTATAACATTTTAAAGTTATTCCGTTACGGGTCTTATTTCCGTGGTAACCAGCAATTCTTGTATTATGTAGCGCAAAATGTGACTCGTGATTGAAGCTTGCACAGCTCGTTCAACATTGATTGGGAAGCAGTTAACGTCCACTATATTTGGAAATTGTGCTCACGAACGCCAGAACCGAACGGCTCGATGATAATACTTTTCCTGGTCTTGAAAGCCGTATGGTCAGTGGTGTGGCAGGATTTGAATGACGTTGCTTCTGCATCATGTGTGCCTGAATGGTCTTGAAATAGTTTGTACATCTTCACGGGCGTATAGGTCATAAACTACAGGGTTTTAGATCTTATGAAGGACAAGGCTGTGCACTGCACGAAATGATCTTCACAATGGTTATTTCAGTTTAGAACTCCATACAAATATGGATTAATCCCGTAAAGGAAAAACGTGCAATATTGGCGATATTGCAATAAGGTAAACTGGGGCTTGTGGATCTCGATGGTCTGGGCGATACGGCGAACCTTGTCTTCTGAGGCTATGTTCGTCTCAGAAGGTTTGAATGGCTGCAGAGGACGAATGAGGTGACATTATGGGCTGTGGGCGATCGCGGACTGGGGCAACTGTATCGTTACCGTGTTCATTGCGACACAACTGATGTAGCCATGTTATGCGTTTGCAACGACGTGGTGTCGCCAGCCCCGGCTGATCTGGTGTGAGGGTGAGGAAGACATGCAGTATTAACACGGAGGTGGGAAAGGACCCGATCGACTGGTGGAAGTCATCCGTTGCTCAGCACTCACCGACCCTGGCGGCTTATGCGATATGCGTCTTTTGTAAAGCCATGTCTGACTTACAGGCCCGGGAGAGTGCGTGGCTTGCCAGTTCGCCGGGTGGCAGACCGGCTAGCTCGCGTCCCAAAACCGCCCTTATGCGGTCTGGGTTTCACGGTCTGTTGGAAAACGGTCATAGTATGGGACCTGTACATGACGGTGGTATTGTGAAATTGCATCGTAACGCAAAAGTTTTTTAGTTACGTATAATTTCTAGAAAGAAACGGCAAGGTGAGGTCTTTGCAGCAAGCTCTGTTTCGTAAAGATCCTGACATGTCGTTTCCCAAGCCAAAGACATCTCCGCAAAATCCTCGGTCGGATTACATATCCAATTTTGGCTCAACCAGCGACTACTGCCATAGCGTTTTGATCCCCACACAGAAAATAATACACTGCTGTTTAATATGAACACTGGCTGGCCGACAGCAGCGTCGAGACAGCTCCACTACGTTTGTGAACACGAGTGTAAGAAAGTGTTAAATCGCTGGTTTTTGGTAAACAACGGGATTTGTTGCGATGTGATATCTTATACAGCATAGGAAAACGGGTTCAATATTTTCTGAAGCAAAATATTTGAGTTGGCTGTCTTCTCCGCAAAAGCAAATGACATTAAATGTCACTGTATCTGCCCATTCATCATTTCCTGGTCACCTCCAACGGGGACAAATACCCCGCAAAGACCCGTCCAACAGGTTATCGCGCTGATGAACGCTAGTTTAGTTAGGTGCATGCGTGGAATGTTGACGCGTCTTCGCATTAGTATGGGTCCGTACTTCTGCCAACTTTGATTTCGATGTAACGCATGGGCCAATGGCTGACAACTGGTTGGAGGCAAATGCGCCGCTGTCGGCGTATTCGCCGCCGTCGGCGACGGTCGCGCTAGCATATTGTTGCCAGCGTCGCAGCAGCATTCATGCCAGTAGAGTTACGGTGCGGTGAGCTAAATCTCTGTTGTCCATCGCATCACTCAGGCATTCCATTGGTGTGCAGCTTAATGGGGTTACAAAGCTGTCTCATAAATCGAAATTTGCTCGTAGTTTTAAGTGTTGTGATATGAAATAGAGCAATCTTGGTGGTCCCAATAGCCAACATTGCTCAACCACATTTCACCACCATCGATAATGCACTCCTTAATATCAGTTCTTGACTGACAACGGTACGGTTCATTTATTTCTCGTTCAATAACAGTGCGCCTAAATCAAAATGTCCTAAAGCAACTCGCTTCAGACCGCCATAAGTGAACCGATCGTCAACCGATCGTCCTTCGGTGGAACAACACAATGACACCGCGTGTAATGCGTGGCATTAAAATGTTTTCTAGGCGCATTAATCAGCGTTCACTAACACAAAGCGCTTTTTAGAAGCCCTGCGCTGTGACTGGGGTAAGATTGTCAGCCTGCTTTTCCAATCTAAGCGGTGACGACACACCGCCGACAATAGCACCTGTCGGCAGCGGCCTCCAGACGCCCTCCCAGCTTCCGCTTCCGCCGAGCGCCCGGATTGACGAAGCCCCTCCGCCGAACGCCTGGACTGGCGAAGCCCCTCCGCCGAGCGCCTGGACTGGCGAAGCCCCTCCGCCGAGCGCTCGGACAAGCGAAGCCCCTCAGCCGAGCGCGGCGTTCAGCGCGTTGGCCAGCTTGTTCTGCGCGTTTTGCAGCTGTTCGATGGCGTTGGCCAGGCCGGCGGCCGGTACGGCGGCCGCGGCCGGAGCCGCAGGGGCCGCCGCGGCGCCGCCACCGAACCGGCTCCCCAGCGGGTCGACAGCCGGGCCGCTGCCGGCACTCGAGCTGTGCTGCACGATGGTGGTGGTGGTGCCGCCGACGCTGCCGCCGCCGGGACGTCGGCTGTTGAAGCGCTCGCCGAGTGCGTTGCCGCCTGCGGGACGGCGTTTACGGCGTTACAGCACCTCCTGCGCCTCGGAGTAACGAGACAGTCACTCCCCTACAGCCACTGAGCGAAGCGACCGACGTCAACTCACCACTCAAAAGGAGCCATAAGGCTGCTCCAGGTGATACCGGACTTTTGACTGCCGTGTGTGACATGGCACGTGTCCTATTGCGGGCCAATGCAGGGACGCGTCATCGGACGGATTTCGTCGGTATATCGGTGGGTGGTGAGGCTTGAAGGGACCAAGAAACCCGTTTTTCAAAGAAACGCGCTGAAAGTTGTGACATTTTTACGGAAGGAATAATTGCTCGGACTATCATCCTCGACTGAAGTGTTAAGGTGTACACCCCGCTTTGGCAAGTCAACGCCCCGGCAGCTGTCTGGTAATACAGAGTCTGTTAATAGGACTGGATGATGTTGGGCTTTCAGCCATGTACGCGTCGCAAGCCCAATTATCTTCTTGGAATTGCTGAGATTCGAACCACGGCCTCCTGGTTGCGAGTCCAGTGCGCTGCCAGCTGAGCTAACCGGGAAGGGCCCGTCTCGTTGTTGGCCGGGAAGGACATGCAATATGCCAGACAAGTACAATAACCCGGGCATTGTTCCATAATTGACTCTTATGCCTCGTCACAATTCCTCCGTAAAATTGTGGCATACTGGTACGAACTATCTGGTATATATTTTCTTTGACACCTTGACACATGCACTGCCACAGGAGAGTACCACGCGCCGCCTGGTGCTACTTCCAAGCTTCATTATGCCCACGTTTCGCCGACAGTGCTTCGGCGGAAAACGAAGTACAAAGGTGGTGACGTTTCAAGTGTCTGGGAATAATTGGCCTGAAAACCGTTTTTATCATCTGAATTGTTCAACCTTTCCAGGGAAAACAGCACCTGAAATGTTTTCGGTGGTCGATATCCGTTTATCATGCTAGTCCGTCACTGTAACAGATTGATCGTACGCACATGCGCAAGCGTTCGTTTAGCAGAGAATCTCCAGCGTGGCACGCCGCACGCTCGCCAAGCGCTCACCTCCAACGAGCATATCCTGCGCGTAGTTGTAGGTGCTGGTGCTGATGCTCCCGACCGATCCCGAAGCGATGATCATGCTGACTCCGTACGAGCCAGACGCGGAGTCATCCACGTTATTCAGCACGACCAGGGACGGCGACGAGGCGTCGCGCTGAGACGTCAATGCCCATGTCATCAAACACCACTCGTCATGAATGTTAGTATCTAGTGAAACTCGGCTAGCACGGGCGAGAGCTGTCTTAACCAGGGCGTTCTGATCGCAGCCTGGCAATGCACATCGTCCCGCTTGCGTCAAATAAAGCGAGAAGTGCAAGCGGCACATCCTTTCGTTCCTTCATCAGTGGCCATCATTTCCTCGCCAGCGGCTAAGTCCTTGTCATACGTGTGTTATGCTCTCCAACACACCAACAACTTGACATGCTGTGTCAACTCACGTTGATATCAACGCCTCGGAGAGTCCTCCAGGAGAAGACATTGTCGGGCCTCTGGCTGTATGTCATAAAGACTTGTCCGTCCTTGGTCCACGTCATGTCCTGGATGTATTCGCCTGGGCCCATCTGGTAGTTGGCCTCCAGGTTGACCGTGGAGCCGTACGCCGGGCTGGCTGGCACCACCACGTCGACGTTGTACCCATGGGCACCTGCAACAGAGTCGGCACAGCTTGTCACCTTGCTGTCAAATCAGGAGCTGATGTGGTCTGATGGTAAACGGCGATGGCTTGTGAAGTAATGCGGACAGCACATTGATTCCATGTAGTACGGCGATGCCGTAAGCGGCTGGCAGGGGGCGTTGTCAATCGGACGTGGCAGACCAGCGTCCGCTGAGCAAAGCAGCGCATTGGCTCAACCGCCCTTTCGGTGGTCGAGTCGTACGCGCCGACCGGCCTCTCTCCCACCACCCCAACCCACAATGCCGCAGGCGTCGAGCGCACAGGCGTTTTGGGTGTCATTGATTCGAAGCATATGGAAGTTTTCTTTTTGCGGTTTCAGGGGCGAGCTCTGGAGAAACTGCTGTGAATCTTTTTGCATGGGTGAACGTGTTTATTTTGCAACCTCCAACGTTCCTTTTCACGTACCTTTAAAGGTAAGACTCCTTGCGTGTCATGGAATGAGCGGAATGACAACAGACATGGTGAAAATCGATTATTGGACATCATATGTCAAAATCAAACCAGTCAAATACCTATCGGAACCCTTACCAACAGATGTGATCAATGCCTTGGAAGTTCTGCCGCTTGTGACTTAAAATAAACCTCTACATGTTAGGATCTGCCGAATCATGAGGTCTTAGCATGCAGAAGGTTAGTAGAGCAGTGTTCAATTTAGTTTCACGAGCGCGTTACTTGAGAGTTGGCCAGTTATGAGCAAGGTTGGTCCTGGAAATTTCAGGAAAAAATTATGAATTTGCAACGACTTTCAGTGTTGTTGGCGGCTAGTTTATTGCTAGAAACGCTGATATTTTGGATGCATTTGAATCCAAACGGACTGAACCATGTGCGCGATCGCCAAACGTGGCTCAGCCATGATTGGTTTAGACCACGGCGAAGCCGGTTATCGAACAGTTATATAGACTGCCCCACGGTCGAATAACGCAACTCCGGGTCGACCAGTGCTATTGTAGAATGGACACTTCATGATTCCATGCAGCCAGCTTCAGGTCACTATCTGCTTTGATTGACGAGATCTGGCACCAGTCATTAAAAGCGGCCGAACACAGGCGGAACCATGGTTTACAATCGAGAACGTCTGTACAGCTGCCAACATCATCAACGTCAACAACAACAACATCAACAATATCAAGAACCCTGACCGATGCTATTGTCCGTTCTGCCAATGTGTGTCAAAATATGCTCGGTTCTTGCCACCGCGAAGCGGAGACATTAATATTTTGGTCCCGTTTCGACCAGTGCGCTACAACTTTTTCGTAAGCAGGAAAGTTCACGTCGCATGGATGGGGAAAGCTACCTCTTGTAGAAAATGAAATGTTGCGGGAGATCACACATGTTTGAGCAGCCTGTATATAAAGCCTCCAAGACATGCAGCACGCCTTTTGAGAGATTGTGCATCTTATTCCGGACAAGCAAATGAAGGTGCGATCACTGATGGCAAACATACTGGCTTCTAGAAAGCGTGACGCAGTAGTCGCCCAAGCTCGAGACGTTCCCTCCGGAAAGACCTGTCCAGTTTGCGGTCCTGTTCATAAAAATCCTGATCCGAAACAATACGACGTCACTCACGCTCAATCCATCATAGCCTCATACTTTTACATTTGAACACAAGGTGTAGAATTGAACAATTAACAGCTACTGAAAATTTGGCAACGACATATCGAGGCTTTTCTGAATTAGCATGAATGCTGGAGGCGGATTTGACCCCCACTCCCCCCCCCCCTCCCTCCCCCTCCCTTGTCTTCTCTACCCGTTCGATACCGGGTTAATCTGGGTCGTCTGCGTTCTAACACCGACGCCTGCGATGCCTTGCAATTTGCGGAGGCTGCGGGAGTTTAAAATAGTAACGATAGGCGATACCACGCGCTGGGACAAGTCAAAACGACAGGGCATCTATAATAGGGAGGACAAGATGAAGAGAATTTTTAGGGCTGGACACAATGCACATGTTCCATGAAGTTAGCTTGAAACGCATCCAATATTTGCTCGAAAGTGCAAGGTATTCAGCCGAGTTGAAGAGAAGGCATATTTCTACCGCGTTCTCCTATATACACCCGCGATTTGAGGGATTGTGTGCAGATCCAGGTAGCCTGGTGGGCTGAATACCTGAGCTGGAGCCCTTAGTAGGCCCAGCTTTCCTTGGGCAGATTGTGGGACGCAGTCCCGTCAACCCGCTCAGCCATCGCCTTGTTTCTGCGCACAAAGTCCTGGCCAGTACGTGCACAGGCCCCGCTCATGAACCGAAGCCCACGCGTTACCAGGCTCCGCCCTCCAGCAGCAGCGGGCCGTGACAAATGACCCGCGCTTTCCACGGACAATGGCGCGGTCCGGGGGCGGCTAGCGAGACAAAGAGGCGGGATGTGCGCGACGGATGCCGGCCCGCCGGTTCGTGCAGCGGCGCTCACGTGGCGCAGCAGATGACCGGACGTGCGTCCCACCCGGCCGGGGGCGTCACGGTCGCCGCCTGTTGACCCGTGGCGGCCCGCCCGGGCGCAGCATCCGCATCGCAGTACTGGCCGGGGGTTCACAAACAGTGACACAGCGACACCTGACGCAGTCGGTGGCGGGGCGTGTTTTTGGGAGTGTTGCAATTTTAGCGATTTCCCGCCAGCACAGTGAAATAATATGGGCTAGGCATGCATGTGCGTGACATCCATGCGTCATCATCTCCAGTTGCTCCAGCTGCAACAACAATAACGTCGTTTTTAGTAGCGATAGCGCGGAACAAGGCTCGTACGCATTCTGAGCATTTACAAGTACCTGCTTGGCCCCCTGAAATTCCGTGTGGCTTCCTAGACGTGAAACAGTCTCTGTGGGTTTCAAAATTTCACAATTTCTGACATAAATTGTTATAGCTAAGTGACGTCTCAGAAAACGATTTATGCAGGTGGAGGCATCATGACTTATGTATGGATGTCGAAGGCCATGGCAGACCCACGAGGCCAGATATACAAACAACAGCGCTGTTAACAATGGGTGGCGAGCAGATTTTGGTGCCGGAAAGTGTAACTGACGCTGGATTGCTTCAAGCTGTATACAATCACAACTGGTCTACCTTCCGGTACTGTTCTGCCCTTTGATTCAGCATGTACGGCGTAAAGACTTCTGGTGCGCTGTCATCTTAACATTTGCGTGAAAAACGCTTATCTCATTACTGCGAGTTTAAACTATAGTGGGATTAAGTCCCAATATTGAGTACATTTTGATGTCATTGTTATATTGACACCTTTTCACTTGACCATTATCCCCCGGAAAACACAATGATTTCTTACAAAAGTATGAATGCTGTTTTCAGTCTCATCGAACGTGCCAGGCGCGGTTTTCAATGAATTAAGTCCTGATCGATACGGTAAACTCAGACTGATCAGCATTTTCAGTAAAAAAAAACGTTGTAGACCATCTCGAAAATACTATACGACGGCAATGCCTTACCCATCACCAAGGTGTCTAGCATTGAAATGTACGCTAGATGGCTTATACACGTGCCCCATGTTTGTAATAGTGCCGATATGCTACTCTTATTCTTGGAACATGGGCCTAGACGCCCACTAAATAGGCCCGCCACTAGACGCCCACTAAATACCTTGCCCAGTATATGTTATCAAAACATACCAACGTGTCCATTTATTCCTTCCCCTCTCTCCCTCCCCCCCCCCCCCCCCCCCTCCTTTCTCCATCTCTCCCTCCAGCACCCAAACACCGCGGTTTGCCCGCTGTGCCAATATCTGCAAAAGCCTCGTAGCTCTTTGCGGATTTGTCTTATCGGAGGACATGTCATATGAGCATTAGCCACGGACAGAGCGGATCAGTGCTGCGGTCAGCAGAGTTGTCGGACGAAAGGCCGTGGCCTTGAGCTCTGGTTCACGTGGAGTGATGGTCGCTGGACGTCAACAGCCTGGAGCCGCCGGGAGCCGGGCCACTGGCCGGCTCTGGCTGAATGCCAGGCCGAGAGAGAGAGAAAGAGAGAGAGAGAGAGAGAGAGAGAGAGAGAGAGAGAGAGAGAGAGAGAGAGAGAGAGAGAGAGAGAGAGAGGGAGAGAGAGAGAGAGAGAGAGAGAGAGAGAGAGAGAGAGAGAGAGAGAGAGAGAGAGAGAAAGAGGGAGAGGGAGGGAGAGAGAAAGGGACAGGGAGGGCAATGCCTTATGTCTTGACTTCTGCCAGCGGTATGCTGTCTGCATGGCAGATCTTGCAACATGGAGGAAAGGGTTCAGTGAGTTCTGACTACGGCAATCATAGGGCGGAAATGAAGCGCAGCGGCTCGATAGGCAAGGTCCGCCGGAAATTATCGTTTTGGTTTTTGAGTCGGCTGCACTTGATTGGCTGGGCTGTATTGTGTTTTATGGTATCTGTGCTAACGCTGTTTTAACAAACACCGCGAATTATGGAGCATTTTCTCCATAGCAAGCTGGGAGAAAGAGTGGGTGATGAGAGAGAACCCTTCTGTTCAAATACCGATCGCTGGCACCAGCGAAATATCACATGTCACACGGCGTCTGACGGAAAACTAAAGCAACGGCGCATCACTTTGCAAGATAACTTCACTACGCTAACGGAGGACGAAACGAAGGTCGGCGCACTCGTTACGTACCAAAGCAGGATCACGCGGATTACTTACGCCCATGACGTACATTATTTGCGTAGGAAGGACCCGTATCTGGGGCCATGTCTGTGCAGATGAGACCAGAGGGGGCCGGCAACAGGTATCGTCCGGCAGGCTCCGTATGAGCAGCCCAAAGACGGCAGGAAAGACTCGTACCTGGGGCCATGTCTGTGCAGATGCGACCAGAGGGGCCGGGGACAGGCGTCGTCCGCGCAGGCCCCGTCTCAGCAACCCAGAGACGACAGGGAACGAAATCCATGGGTTTCGCATAAGTAAGAATAATCATAGGCGCATATACGGCGTCAACTTTGGCTTTTTCTGAGTGAGGATTTGCTGTTTTAGAGGAGCCGTTCATCGTATAGTCATGGCTGAAATAATGCCGTTTGTTGAGTTAGTCGAGCAGACAAACTGAGTTGGCTGGCGCCGGCTCCCGACAATGTCCTGCGATGAGGGATGAGCGAGACCGTTGCAGGTTGTGTCCACTGATAAGACAGCTAGTCGTAGATCGTGTGCCAGCTGTTGCAGTCGTTCCTTACAAGAATCTGCGTGTGTTGGATGTGGGTTGATTAGCATGAAGTGCTCGGGAAGTCGTATTCGTGTCAGCGAGAAAGCGTTCAGTAAAAGTGACCGGCTTCAATAAGTCGGCGTTGCAGTGGGTGTCAAACCTTCCTAGTGTACGATTAGACCAATGATGTGTGTGTTGACAGCGTGCGTGCATGCTCATACAGAGCAGACACTTTTCTGGAACAACCCCGAGTCCTCATCGCAAACGATTCTCGGGTCACGTTGCGGCGTACTTACCAGCCGGCACTGGCTGGTTGCGAAAGCCGAATTCGCTCTGAGACGGCCGTGCTGCTCTCGGCCAGCGGGCCGGTCGCCGCGCCGGTCCGACCAGTCGGACCACCGACCCTGGCCGCTCGGAAATCCCGACCGGCGTCAGCTGATTCACGGAAGGTGGCTCTGCGCTGGAGGAAATCCCCAGCCGGCGGACCACGGACGCGGAGGGGTCGGCCGGCGGGCCGCGCACCCATCCCCGCGCCCCGGCGTAACGCTGGCCAATGTGTCGTGACTGCGGGCGATCAGCGGCGCCGACCGACTGCCGGACGCGCTGCGCAGTCAACTGTTCACATGTCGGGGTTTTACGTTGCGCCGTGCTCGTGCATGAGTAAATTGGTGTCACTAGTGCAAGTGTGGTAGTTTGGGATTGCATGAGTCAAATAGCGGTGTCGGGGCTGCTACGTCGGGTACGTGCGCTCATGAGGCTGCTACTCGGTGCACACGCGCCACCGGACGCACCTTGACAGCATTGTTTCATAAGTAGCCAGTTAATTATTAAACAAACAATCATCCGCTTGTTTGTGAACACTACCAAAACATGTTTTGGTATATACGTACCAACAATCCTCCCGCCCACTAGGCCAGCCGAGGACGCACGTTGTGGAAAATGCAGAACATTCCCCAGTTAGAATGTTGGGGAAGCATTCGCTTTAAGTGGCTTGTATTGCATCCACTAATTCAGAGCAACTCGCGTCTGCATGAAGTATCAAATGGTCGGACGATAACGAGCACACCGATGGTGTGCTTCCCACAAACACCGCAAAGTGCAAAAATTTCTATTTCTATTCCTCTTCGATTGCATCAGCAACGTCACATAAGCAGAACAACCAGATAACTTTTATGGGGAAACAGAGGGAAGGAGTGGCGGTATTCCAGCGTTCATCTTCTCGGGAAACTACTTCCCCGCAATACACCACCATGCACCTTGTTCGGCGAAAACTGGACCTCCGAACGACGGCGGCCTGGAAAACCCTGGCCGGTAGGTTGCTATCCCCGCCGACAGCACGCCTGCGGCCCGTCGAGCGGCGGCAGGTGTGGGGGATGGGTACCCAGAAACGGGGCAGGAGCGGTCGACGTGTCAGATGAAAATAATGTGAACCGATGGAAGAGGGCAAGCAGGATGGGTGACGGCAGGGCTACATCATCCAAAAGCAGCATGGGTGGCAAAAACGGGAGGGTTTTCAGCTTGAACATGGAGCACCCAATGTTCTGGTACAGGAAAGTAAGAAGCCTATTCATTCAAACTGACGCATTCACCTTCACACTTCATGCGCAAACGCTGCATCTCACCTACTTCAAAATGACCGCAGATGCGCGCATATGCATTCGATATTTTGCAGCATAGTTCGATAGCCTTCTGGACTTTCTGGATTGCAACACCGGTCCATAGTGTGCCTAGCACAGAAATTTCTCATTGTGTACTCGTTTGGTGGCATGTTTATGGTTTCTGGTGTGATGTTTTGGTGTGATGAGATGATTCATCTGATCCGTTTCAGGAATAGTAAAGTGTAAACAAACTGTCCAGGCGGCGGTCATAAGCGACTTATTTTGAATTGTGCCCACTCACTACGAAGGAACTAATTGCCTTGGTTACAATCAACCACGCCAAAATGGAGCAGGTTGAGCCAGTTTGTTAATCGAAAGTATTAGAGCAACTCCCACTGCGTTGTTCGTTATGAGTTTCTTGAGGAGCGCCACTATGCGCTGAGTAATACTGAACACTGGGTAAACGCTAAGATCAGATCATTGATATTCATATCATTAATATCTTTGACATATAATTCAAAACACAAGTGTTCTGCCGCTTCGCCAGGACCGCTTAGAGGCTGTTTACTTGTTTCAGCGCTGTTGGAAGGAATCAAGGGATGATATAGCTCTTGGTGACCCAGCAGAGCTTCCTGATCTTTGTCATAAGGAAAGAAAATAACGCTGAGCGTCGATCTACTACGTCGGACGTGCGATGGTCGTAGCGTATTGAATTCAACGTAGACTTCTTTTTTTTGGCGCAAGTCCGAGGAAATCGCGATCAAATGATCACCATGAGCCTAACGACAGCCGTTTTCAAATGAATCAGTCCAATACAGTCCAGGCTAAAAAGCCGAAAATCTGAGTATCAGAGCATAATGTAAGAGCATATAAAGGATTTTGAACTAGCTAGCAATTTTCTGGATGGTTGCTTTGCGGAATTAATGGGAACGGTTCAATTTGAGCAGCTCGACCAAGCTGCAACTCTTCATAGGAGAGACTATGTTTGCAACTACTGATTACGGCTTTCAGAGCAAAGAACGTGTTATTTACAGGTGAGCTGCATATATTTTACGGCATGGATGTACAGGCTGTTGGATGAAGTCTGCCTTTCTAAACATCACCGTTGTTTGATTAGGCCTGCCTTTCTGTGCATTGCCATGTCGACAAAACATAGCCGTTTTCATTTGATTAGCAAGGGTATGTTGGCATTTGCCAATTATGAAAAAGCTGCACAACAAGAGTCGGAACTGAGGCATATTTTAGCGGCCCAGCGTCGTTGTAAAATCAGAACGGATTTCCCTCCACTTGATGGAGGGAAAAGCGGATTATTGTGTAAGCCAAACCGTGGACCGATCTATACAATCAGTAGAGCGCCGAGCGCAAAACATCGGCTTGCGTTGTGCGTTTGTGTGTCGCGTATTTTTCTGACGAGTATTTATGGGGATTTGGGTAAGCCTTAATAGCCCAGCGAATGCACCAGCTACAATTACCTGAGCGGTCCCAACACCGTCCGATCATTAGGTGCACCAGTAATTGACCCAAAAACGACCAGTGTAACCATTTTCGAAAATGAAATCTGTCTGAACGCAACACACCGTCGCTTAAGCCAGGACAGAGAGAGAGAAAAAGAGTGGGAGAGAGAGAGAGAGAGAGAGAGAGAGAGAGAGAGAGAGAGAGAGAGAGAGAGAGAGAGAGAGAGAGAGAGAGAGAGAGAGAGAGAGAGAGAGAGAGAGAGAGAGAGAGAGAGAGAGAGAGAGAGAGAGAGAGAGAGAGAGAGAGAGAGAGAGAGAGAGAGAGATGGAGAGAGGGGGGAGGGGACGGGAGATTGGACCATAAAACTGAACAGTCGCGACCTGTTTAGTTCACTGAAGCCTGGCCGGACATATAGTCAGCCAATTTTCAAGCGGTGATATTTGCGAATTAGTGCGAACGCTATATTGGGGACCTCTCTAGTCAGAATTCCCGCAGAGCATTGGCACCCCCATTTTCAGTGCTTCGACGTTTAATTTGGCTTGCAAAGTGTCCGGCTTCGTTGTTTTGCTTACGGGTTTTGGTAAATTTGGTATCGTGCTCATGATCGTAATTTGTAACTCGGATGACCGTTATCAGCACACTCGTCCCGCGCCGCAAAGGGCGTCTCACCTGCAGATATAGCTTAATCCTCGCGAAAAACCGGTTATTGTAGCGTTCACATCCAGCTAGGCTAGGACATCAGCTAGGACTGTTCGTCCTTGTGGTGAGCAGAAACACGAGGGATAGGTTGCAAACACCTCAAAAGCTGCCCAGTCGAATAACTCTGGCGGGGAGGGCTAAGAGAGACTGGTGCAAAATACTTGGTCGATATGTCACATTTTAGTGCTCGGTGAAGGTCATGTGCAGTTTAAGGGAAGACAGGGTAGTGCCGACACATTATCATCAAAACACGATGAGGGCATCAATTTATATTATTTTCGAGTCCAAATTACGCTGTCAACGCTTTGTAACAGCACTATTGGTAGCTTTGCAGCGGCACCTAGCAACCCTCCGCAGAGGATTGGCCAGCACAGAGACCCTTTTGGCCAGCACAGGAGACCCTTTTGGCCAGCACAGAGACCCTTTTCGGGGAATGTGCCTGCTGCTCGGACGGAGTCCCCTTCCTGGGGACATTTAGCCCAAGCATCGCTGGTACATACAACTCGCCCCGTGTAAATGGGGCGTCACGAGGATGTAGGGTGAAGCGGTGATGAGGAAAATGACGGGATGAGTTTGTGTGACATTTCTTTGCACACCCGTAAACGGTGGCAACGGACGTTCTCCCATGTAGGGAGGGACCAAAGCCACTTTTGTATTTTTCAGTAAGCACAGAAGGCCCAGCATTATATTATCGGAGAGATGTGGAGCAAAGTCCCCTGCCCCATTCTCCGGTTTTTTAGGTCCTGCCTATGACCAGTTGCCAACTGTAAGTTGTTCAGTGCATTAGCGAGGAGCATTATTCACACAAATAGGACTGTAGAATTAGCCTTATCCCTCGGAGAAAAACCAGGAGAATGAAGATATAGTTGGGTTAATATTGTTGGGATATAGTCGCTATAAACTCAAGGCAATACGCCTAAGCGATCCACTCGAGCATTACTTGAGTGCGAGTGAGCGGCTTTGCTGTGACATCCCCGCTGGCGCGGTGACACCACCTGAAGCCGAATGAAGGCGCCTTCCCCGGAAACAGCCCGCCGCCTTCCGATGCTCAACGCGGCATCACCAGCTCTCCCGACGAGAGGAGCCCTGCACTTACCATTGGCTAGCGCCAGCGCCGCGATGACCAGTGCTGTCCACATGGCTGTTGAGTACTGACTGACGCCGGGCGCCGCGCTGCCATTCCTTTCTCTTTCTGCAGCCGTGCCTGTGACGTCACGCCGCGGCCGGCCTGTCCAGGTGTGTGACGTTACGGGTCGTCAGAAGTATCTGGTGAGTATCTGCGACGCACGGCTGCACGCTTCCCCCACGCGGTCCTGCCGGCAAGGGTTGCATGCGTAATGGGTCGACGCAGCTGAGATGCTGCCGTCAGTAACGTCCCGCAGAGTAAAACACGCTGTAGATCTCGTGTAATCTCAGCTTAACGCGGTCGTCCCTTGGCGACAGCCGCTCACGGCCTCATCGGGGCCATCGTGCAAATTCCACCAGTCATGTTTCGGTGAAAACTAGCGAAATAGCCCAGACAACTTACCAGCACCGCCCTCGAATATCTTTGGTCTGTTGAGGTGGTTTGTTTAGATCTTAAGTTTCGGCCGAGGGGTCGATCCTCATAACCGGCAGGTGCCAGCCGGTGCTGGAGCAGCGAGTCCAGAACTAGTTTTGTGCGGTAGGTATTTCTGATATGAACAGGTACTTGGTATGCTGGGGAATGCCATCGATCCCTGGCTCTGTTCATGAGCTGTGGCCACATAGCTCATGTGGTAAGTATTAGAAGAAGCTGAGTGAATTGGAAGCACAGCTAAAGGCAGGCTGAGCGTCCATTTACGTCACTGGTTTTACCACGGTTTCACGGATCTCAAGGACCCAGGCCACATTTGACACCAGCCATAAGATTGCATGTGCAGATTGCATGTGTGGTTATGATACGTTGCCTACACTTGCGCATTGTTAGCTTCCATCATCCACACATCCAGAGGATTATGCGTCGGATAATAGGCGTCACATGACTCTCAAACGAGTACAGCAAAGCTTATGAGAAGTGATTCTTCCTATCACCTTTCAAATGTTGTTTTCGTTTGTGGAGCCCGAGCCGGACAGATCCAGGCGGAGATGGTGGCCGCAGAACAGCCGCTCCTTGTCCTGCCGGGAGTACGCACCCGGCCATGCGAGACGGAATCTATCGCGAGCATTGGGATATGCACTAGGGGAAGAAAGGGGAGTAGAAACGTACGCCCCAATTTTTCCAAGACATTGTTTTGCCCCTTCCCGCACCTTTGCACGCGCGTTGCACGGTTTTCACGTTTTCGCATTCCAGTACGCCATTTTTAGGCTAGATTTTAGTCTGCTCCCAACCCTGTTTTGTACCCCCCCCCCCCCTCTTTAATCTCAGAGACGCGGCTACACTCACGGTCAACAGGTCAGTGCCGCATAACAGCACAACGCAGCGCCAGTTTGCGCCTTGATGTGAGCGTTGAGCGCGGGAATGCGGAAGGCCTGGAAAAATATGCAAGCTCAACAGGATACAGGGACCGCCGAAGAACGTGAGCCATTTAGCATCACATAGGTGTTCTATGGATCGTGCTACTTTGCCCATCTATATGCAGCCGAACGGATGTCGCGAAGCCGAAGTCAAAGAAACCAAAGTTGCTTGGTTTCGTGAAGCAAACATGTAAATTAGTTTCAGGTAATGTTGCAAGCATTGACGTCTAGCGAGTCCGAATAGGCATATGCTTAACCCAAAATTGGGTAAGCCACTGTGACCCCCCCCCCTCGATGTGCAATCCCCTCTGGTAGGGGGCTCAATTTGCCCCCCCCCCCAACGGTAAATTTAGCCTCTTCCAAATATTCTGGACCCCAAGAAAATGTAAGAAATTTTCAACAGGAGCTCAAAATTCTGCTAGCAGGCTTCTGCTAATGGTTTCACAGGCAAAAAAAAACAAAGTCAATGGAAATTGCGAAATCATGCTCAGTTTAGTGCGCCTGACTGAGTTATTTGTACCTTCAGAGCTCCTCGGTCGTACCGTGTTTACTTGAGTTTTTCCCTGCATGCTGCATGTTTTTTTTTATACATGATTTACATTTCCTGTTGGCTCTAATCTAGTTTTGTGCTCTTGTGGGAATGTTTTGGCACTAGTAAGCGGTGTTTTAATCCTGCAGACCACAGCTAGTTGCATTGTTTTGCTACGACCACTTATCGGAAATAAAAAAGCAGTGAAATATTTGTACCTAAAACGTAGCTAACTTGTTGGCCATCTACATTCGGAGGCACCCTTAAATCCATCCAACTTCACTTTGTCGTGAAAATTTGATGAAACGGTTGCAAAAACCTGGCAACCAACACCAACCCATTAAACCGATAGTGGCAATCGCCCGGCCATTACCAACACTAGCCGTGTCGAACATGTCTAACGGGAGTGTTGGGCCTGCACCCCGCCTTGCGGTTATCAGCCGGGATTTCCATGGCAGACGTTATCAATCGCGCAATTCAGCTTACACTCTTTACTCACCCAGCCGCACATGTTTAGCGACGTCTGAAACCCTATAACGTAGACCCTTCATCGAATACCGAGATGATATACCGAGATTACCGTGGAATACCGTGGAATACCGAGTGGAATACCGAGATTTCAACGATGGACCCACACACAATTATCAAGATGTTCAATGACATCATCTTTTGCTGAGACAGAGCAAGCAAGGGTTTACAATCGGCTGCAGTTTCCTATCATGCTGGCGAGGGGGGAGAGACTCCTACTTCATGATTTCGTTGAGAGGAAATTGGGTCAAATCCGGGAAGCAGCATGTTTTTTTGCGTGTATTTGGTGCTAGGTTTTTCCGCTCGACCCGACCAATCCTATTTTGCGAAACTACAGTCCTATGGTGGAGTATCAACGACCGCGACACGCGAAAGATTTGGCCCCAGATTATACTCCAGAGCCAGGTCCGTGCCATCGGGCCTATTTACCATGCAGGGGCAGGGCAAAGATCCGTAATTTACATTGGTCGGTCCCGTAAGTCGGTGAGAAGCCCATGTGTTGGTCACGGGACCACGGTGCCTAACAAGGGTCCTTTATTGACAGGGAGCCCAGAATCGGCCAGCGACAGTGCTCAAGAGGCCCGCAAAGGAGCCGAAGGGCCTCTCGGAATCGGCGATCAAGTACCCGATTGGAGGGCACAAAGGGGGGGGGGACCGGGCCATCAAATCCCATAAGAGGGCCTCTTGCACCGATTGGGGACACGCTGGGACAACGCGTGTCTCTAATGCGGTCACCGACCACCAACACCGAACAGTCGGCTCCGTGTCGGTCTGAGCCCTGAGGGTCCATTTCCCAAGCAGGGGAAGAGGCCAAAGCCCGCGATTGGCATTGGTGGGACCCCTGAATCAATGAGGGCTTCTTTGTTGGTCAAGGACCCACAGTGCTTAATTGAGGGCCCAGTGTTGGCAAGGGGCCTCAAATCAGCCAGGCAACATTTGCTGGATAGGGACAGGGACGAAGCCCCAAAAGCCAGGGGCTCTTGCGTTGGTTGAGGACCTCTGATAACGAACGTAGAAATGAGAGTTTACGATGAGAGTCCACAATGTGGCGGTGGAAGGCCTTTTGTCAGACAGGGCCCCGGTACCGAACGGGGAGCTCTCCATCCGTTTCACACCAGAGCCCATAATGCCGAAATGTATATATGTGCCAATTATTGGACACCTGTGACAATATGGAATGTTTTGCATTAATGAGGGCCCCTGCGCCTTTATGGAGCCAGGTAATCGGGTCAGAGGACCCCTGGTATCAGCTAGGTGACTAATGCATGATACATCCCTCTGAGGGTTTCGGTATCGACCAGGATACCCCGCCCCTGTGGCAGCAGTATGACAGCCGGCGGGTGTGAGTGGCATGAGTGCGGCCTTGACCTCACCCGCAGCGTCACAGCGCCACCTGCAACTAAGTGTTGAACTGTTGCAGGAGCGTACAGCGACTGAACCTTTACATTTAGAGGTTCCATTCTGGCCTGTAGAGGGCCAATCATGACATGAAGAGAATTCGTTATGAGCTGTGGGGAGTCCAAAATTGACTGTCAAGGTCTCATATTAGCCTGAACATGGCTCATCTTGACAAGTAGAAGAGCCCATCCAGGCTCCTAGACGGCCCATTGTTGACTGTGGTTTCTGTGATTCTGGCCTGTAGGAAATCCATTCTAGCCTATAGACGGCCTAATCTTGACTGTGAATGGCCAATTTTAGCTGCAGAGGGTCCATACTGCCTGTGCAGGCCCCATTCTGACCTGTGGAAGGCCTGTTACCGAATGTGGAGGGTCCCATCTGGCATGCACTGGAGCTTACTCAGGTTGGCAGAGGGCTTATTGCTGACTGAAGAGTCCCCTTTGGCTTGTAGAGGAGCCATTATTAGCTGTGCAGGGCCCATTTTCGCCTGCAGAGGGTCCATTCTGACCTGTAGAGGGCTTATTCTGAACCGTAGAGGGCCCATCTGATATGAAGAGGGCATACTATCAACTGCGGAGGGCCTGCAGTGACCTGTAGAAGGATTCACTCGGGCCTTCAGACGGCCCACTGTGCCCTTGAAGAGCCTATTTTGGACTGCAGAGGGCCCGTTCTGACCCACAGAAGTGCTACTCGGGACGTGAGGTGGGTCTATTCTAAGCTGTAGAGGGCCGATTAGTGACTGGGGATGGTCTATTTTGCGCTGCAGAGGGCCCATTCTGACTCTTTTGCAGGGGTGTGGGAAGAGGGGATGAAGGGGTCATGGGCCTCCCACTTTTCAAGATGGGGGGGCAGCAAAGTTGACTGTCTTCTTACTTTTTCAGATTTAATTTGCGTTTGGCTTATTTTGCATCATCTTAAACGCACATCCGATTTACTTAGCCCGTCAGCAATCTTTCCCAAACCGCACTTGCTCCATGTGGCGAGTGGCATGTGCTAAAAGACATGTGGACTTTGTGGACTAAAAGACTTTTACCATGTGGTTGATAGCGTCTGGTAATAATAGCGGATGTGCCCCATGTGGTGAATGGCAGCATCTTCTTGCGTCATGTGCGGCGAACGGAGATATTTAGGGCAAACCCGAGGTCTCTCTGGTACCAAGAGCTCCGTGCCATATTCATATAACTGTTCTTCTGCATGGCTATTTACCTCAGCATACGTTCATGGAGTTCAAGATGGTATGATGCATCCGTCAAAGCGTATCTAGATCGACTAAAGGATCCCGTCCCAGTGTCGCCAGAGCAACAGTCGGAATGCACTCCGCGCTGGGACGGAATGGCCCTTCGTCCCCGAACCAGTAAAGTTAGCGTGCCGCCTAGTGTTCTGCTCACCGGCCTTTTGTCCGGAAATCGTAACTGTCTCAGAAGTGTTGAACTGAGTGGATCGAAATGAGGTCAAGAATGAAAAAGTCAACCCATGTTCGCCTGAGAACATCCATTTTTCTGCGGAATCGGTAAGTGAAACAAAGAACACAAGACAGTTTTAGCTCTGCACGCTCGCAATCTCAGCAGCAAGAACAGCGCTGGTCGGGTTGCTGTTTTTGTAAAACGGAACGGCGTTAGCCGCTGCAGGTAACGCCAGGCGGCGGGTGCTGTGCGCTGAGAATGACCGTCGTGAAATAATGCTTCTGAACGTCCTCCAAAGTAAATTCGAGCCATTCAGAGGTTAGACTGGGGCATATTAAGAAAATGAGTATGTTCCCTGCTCAAATTAACAGTTAGAGCAACACGATAAAATGAATATTATTCCCTTAATCTTCCAATTCCACTCTAGATTCCAGCATCACTTAGCGGTTCTGTGAAGGAAAAACCGTCCTTTTTATCAATCTAACAATCGCCCAGGTGAAAGAAACGCCTCGACTACCCTCTAAAGGTATTAATTGATGTCCTAAAGCTTTCAAAGGAACGTATTTCAGCCAGCCGTTGGCCGACACTGCGCGGCTTATGGAGGCTACAACGCCGGGCGTCGAGGCTGTTGCTAAGATTGACATACGCACGTTTTCAAAACCGTGTTACAGAGGTTTTTTCAGTAATCGATTCGGACTGAATGTTGAACATTTCAAGACGGACATGGGTTAGCCATATCAAAACAGCTTTCCAACCCAATTTTGATCTACAATCTATGTTCAGTCCTCTATGTATCTGAAGAACCCAGACAAATGTGGCAAATTGTCTGAGTTATATCGGTTAAGAAAGTGTCTACTGAATCAGAGATTTATTCCACGGAGTCCTTCAGTGTCTGACTTTTGCAGTTCATTGTCTTCAAAATACCAACAGAATTGATCTCGCGATGGCGTCTGGTCTTTGTGTTTGTTTTGTTCACGGGGTAAAATCAGATCAAAACAGAAACAAAAAACCTTACCCCTCGTAACAAGTGGGCTATGTCCGAATATTTTTGGCGACTAGCCTCTCACCATCAGGGGGCTTTTGTCAACCCTATGTCCCCTTTGCTGGCAAGATTCGTTGACAAATGAGTTATATCCGGCGTTGGCGTTTTGCTTCTTTTTTTTTGGCGGTGGTCACCGTCAAGGAAGTCTTTATCAACGCTGTGTGCCCCCCCCCCCCCCCCCCCTCCTGGCAAGGCTCTGGATACGCACCTGCCTGCATTCAAAAGCCGAGCAAGCCGGCCACGTTGAATGCGGGGCAAATGAATGTCTGATGGACCGATTCATGCTTCAGTCAGGCAGTGTCCCGAAAACTTGTTTTTTGCTGTGCTGTGGTGAAAGGGAATACAGTGCGAACACCGGTAAGGTGACAACTGTCCAATATATGCTTTACACACTGCTAAGTGGTGATGCTGATTAATTAACATGCAGAAAAGCAGTCATACGATCAGTTCACAGTCAGCCATGTGGGCGACAGCCGGGTCAGGGCGACGGCCACCGATGGTGGACGGGAACCAGGCTCAGATAAGGAATATCCCCATGAAAGACCATCATTCTGTGATTTTGTTTTTCAGGACAAACTCGGGTTTTACGGTTTTTGTCAGTCGTTTTTAGCAGCAAGTATTTCAAGCTTCGGAGTTTGTTTCCACCTAAAATGGCGCGAGAAATCCTACCCCCTGAAAAGCAGCCGGCGAGACCCAGGAGCAAAACAGCTCTGGCGTGAGTCATTGATTCGCATTCAAAATTCTGACCAGCCTGCGCACGGGTCGTATTTTGTCACCTACCCTGTGGCAGCAGATCCCTCCCCAATGATTCAAATGCCTACCCGCTCGGGAATTTCGCCGCTCCAAGAAAAACCAGTTAGGAAATGGGCGGACAATCATAGGGAGCTGGATAGCCTTATTTGCCAAATGGCGTAGATGTGTCGAATGAGCAAGGTTGTACAACAAGGTTGTGTGTATTTATCATAGCAACCGTGACATTTCATTATTTCCCAAATGTGTTATGTGAATTAAGAGCGAACGATGTCTCCCATCTTCCCCCTTCAATCACCGAGCTCGCTTCCCAGTAAAAGCTTCTCAAGTATACACTGAACCTGACACTCCTGACACATCTGACACTCCCCCCCCCATTTTATGAAAATATCACACCCCTATGCCCTATTGCACCCATTTTGACCTGAAGAGGGCCAACTATTGAATGTGAGGGGCAACTATTGAGGGGGCAGACTATTTAAACTTGGGGGCACATTTTGGCATTTTGGAGTTTTGCCCTGCCAACTTTAACATAGGTACCGTGCCCCTGGAAGCGTACATCCTTGTTCATTATCAACATGTGAAACAAATTGTGTAAAACAAAGAAGGCTGGGTTAGTGTCTTAGAGATCAACAGCGACAGAAGCACAAAAATGGAGATTTTACCTTTATTTGACAAGTTCTATGATCAAATTTCAACACCTGTTCGCTGTGCTGCCAATGCTAATCCATTTGTCTAACACGATTTGTATATTTATCATAATTGTAAAAATTGCACAGGTGAAACATACTTCCGAAATGCCTTCTTAGTGTACCAATTGACATATTAAACCGCTCAAACGTATTTCCTTTAGAGGCGTTGTCGTTTTCGCAAGCCCGTTGGCCGCCGCCTAGTGTTAGACGCGGGACCGACGCCACGCGGCCTCCGGAGACTGCAACGGGGCCTCGGGGTGTTCGTTGTAAGCTTGCGAGTGCGCATAAGCCGTGCCATGAAATTCTTTCACCACTCGATTCTGAATCAAGTTTAACATTCTCAGACCGAAACGGGCTGGTGTGATAGCAAATGTATGACCTCATTTTGATCTAAGATCTAAGTTCACTATGTCCCTGAACTACCCAGAACAATTTCGGCACAAGTTATGAGTATTATCGGCTAAAAAAGTCCACCGAAATATTGAAAAATTAGTGGCACCCGAAGCATATGAAATGCATTCATTTAACGGCCGTTTCCTTCACCTTCTTGACATGCTTGAAAACACAAACATAATGGTATTTGTCGGTGCCCCTCGGCTTCTCTTTCACTTAAAGGAAGTGTTCCACATTGGTATGAGGTTTTGAACTGAAAAATCCATCTTGAAGATAATTCGGTGCACATTATAGTCCTGTTCTTTTTAAGACCTAGCCCCTCTTATATCTGAGGTACATGCCCGCAAAAATGTGCAGATTACCTCGGGAAAATATTTCGAGGTAACCTTGGCGTTCATGACGCCATAATGACGTAATTTAAATCTTGTCATTCCAGTAGCCATGCGGCGATCAAGGCCAAGCAAAATACAGATGCCGAGTCGTTCATATCTGGCGTTCGTGAGCACAATTTCCATGCATTACGGCCGTCCATTGGCTCCTTTTCAGTGTCGTTCAAGGTCCGGTGGTGCAATCAAACGTTGACGCATTGGGCATATTTACTCAACAGAGCAACTGTGGTGCCTAGAGCAGTCTTCTTCATTAAAAATCTGCCGCCTCCTTTAATATCTTCAAATGTGGAACATTTGCTTTAACATTCCCTTGTTCGAGTGCCGAACGTGTTTGCTCTCCCTCTCTCACACTGCGCTATCATCATGCACGCATTTGTAGCGCATGGGACGTTGGAAAAAATCCTGCGTGCTCACGCTGTTTGTGGCAGCTAGTTCGACAGCTCCCAATGGCCGTGCACGCCTTGTTTGTGGCAGTTAGCTCAGCAGGTCTCACTGGTCGCTGATAGCTCGGAATAGGCTCCGCAAATGCCGACCCTTTAAATACAGAGAGACTTGGTAGGATTCGGTAGATATGTATTTACGTTCACTTCACTTGGTTAACACTGGGGAGTACATCAGCTCGGGGAACAGTACTAAAATCATTGTGAAACAATCTGTTTAGGTGACGATGCTTAACGCAATACAGGTCACAGGTGGAGAAGCTATTCGGACTGTCACCCTCGCCTGGTGTGTTAGTATCCACGCAATGTTTAGGCCACTTGATTTTCCAGCCGGGTTATGACGCGTACATGGCTGAAGGCCTAACACCATCCAGCCGTTCTCAGGACTCAATAATACCAATCGACAGCTAGCTGGCAGAAGTATTGTGCGGATGCGACCAATCCAGATAGGGGCGACAGAACGCTTGTCCCGTGCGTAATACTAACACATCGTCTACCATCACGTACAACCGTTATATGGGTCCCAACTTGCCTACGCCGGCTATTGTACACCAGTATTCGTGCAAGAGAGACAGCTCTCCTCTAACATAAAGCTTTGGATTTATGGCCGGGAAGTTAACATCGTGTGTTGTTTCCAATCCATGCTACGAATGTAAAATACCGTGTTGTGCAACCGCTTTGTAGGCAGATGACATTGTTCACCTAACCGACTCTGAAAATGCGAATTTCATCAGGGAACGATCTGGGCACCAGTTCCAAAACTCCGGGGTTCGATTACGCGATAGGTTCGCATGCCAGTGTCTGTCAGATGAACAATATTATATACCTGCAAAGTGGCTGCGCACTGCTGTCCTTACCAGCCGGAATGTGGAAAGAAAACAACACACGACACTTTCTTCACGCTTCGTCTTCAGAGCTTGCACGAAAAGCAAAGACAAATTTGTTCGAAAGCACTCACAAATGCAAAGAATGTGCAGCGCAACTTGAAATAACAAAAACGTAGGCACAGCACATAGTCGTTGGCCGGGATAGCGCATTTTAGATGCATCATATCTTCTAATATACACACGGTGTATGCCCAATGGTCGCGCTTTCATTCTCCTCTACCTCCGACAGGCATGGTGAGATAAACCTACGAAATACTGGACCCAACCTGCATGAACCTGGAAAACTACATATTTATGGAAACTACGCAAAAATGCTCTGTATTTTGTATGCTCGACGCGTTGTCCTGTGGCCCATTGCCGACAGCGCCTGACGTGTGCTCCGAACCTCTGATAACCGCCGTCGCCATCCGCTGCATTATGGACAAGCTGTTTCTGATGCAATTTCGGTCCGCTCGCCAAGGCCCGGTGTCACTGCCTCGGTACCGACGGCTGAAGACTCGCAGACACCAGTAATCAGCGCACTGCAGAGGGCGCGAGCCCCACCCAGCCGCGGGTCGCGCCGCGGCCGAACGGACACCGGCGGCCGGTCTCACCGCCTGCCGGCGCCGACAGCCTCCCTGATGAAGTCGAGCGCCGCCTCGGTGCTGGCGTACACGCCGGGCACGTCCTTGACGCCGCAGCCGATGCCCCAGGCTGTGACGCCGGCCAGCACGTACGCGCCGTCGACCGGGCAGGCGAGCGGACCGCCACCGTCACCCTGTCGGCCCGGGCGGGAGTGATGCGGACGCGGCACGGTCGCGACGGAACGCGCTCAACATGGCCCGTCCGGCTGGGCGAAACAGCATCCGACAGCCCTGACTGACCGGAGACCGGCTCTGATGGTCTGTGCTCCGGCAATGCGAACAGATCGGGCGAACACACCGTATGAGTGCCGGCATATGACGAGGTCGGCGCTTCTGCTGACAAGAACTGACAGACAAACGGCAATGCAAGGAAATCCGTCGCTGGAGAACTAAAAGGTCCACAACAGTCTTCAGCACACGTGCAGAATATTTCACGTGCTACCAGGATCATTTGACGAAGGACAATTGATAAAGCGTGGCTCTCGAAGTTTCGCTTACCATACCATGTGACAGGTTACCTGACATGAATCGATGCCCTCCTCTCCTCCTGCGCAAACGAAGCTCCTGTGCAGCCTGAAGAATCGACCCAGTCGCGTTTTCCGTAGCATGGACTGGCATTTCTCATTGTCGACCATTGGTAGACGAACTTTCTTCAGCACGGTCGAGAAGTCACCTGGTGAAAACAGGAAACCTATCAATTTGCTCCATGTGAGATTTACGCTGAGTGGACAGCCCAAAAAATTGCGTTACATCCCTCAGTATTGTACGGGTGTAGTACGTCACAAGAATGTACAAATATCCAGAATCTGTTCCTCGCACAGTGCTCAATGCCGCAGTGGTCCGTCATTCAGCAGTAAACACAAAGAGCGCAACGACTATCAGCTAGGTTTCCACAAAGATGTCTTCGGGGTGCCGGTAGTGTAATGGTTAAAGCGTCTGCGTTAACTTCTGCGCGTCTGGTAAACCAGTGATACGGGGTTCGATTCCCCGCAGTGTCCGCCCTTCCTGCGAGGGTGAGAAGCAGGCGGCGCCATGTAACTTCAGCAGCTGAGTGCGTCGCGAAGTCCCAATGACATGACATGACATGACACAAAGATGTCTTGAATGTCAAACCCCATTATCACACGGCACGACAGTTGCTTTGTGCACATGAGGGGAATCATGAGCCGACGGGCTCCATCTCGTCACCCATGAGAAAAGGATGTGCATAGCTATTCAGGCCTTAGCGCGCTTGACGAGAAAGGGGCATAAATCGCCTGATGGACGTGAAAGGTGTGGCTGTGCTTGATCCCGAGTCCAGTGAGGGTTTGTCCTGCAGCCAAACTTTTATCTCAGCTAAGGTGACTAAGGCTTCAAAAACTGAGATGTCTCAAAGGCGGAGCCTGATGAATCGTATCGGATGGAATCATCCGTGAGTCCACTCAGCTAAATTCAGGGACGTATTCCTATTATTGCGGATCTAATTCATGCGAGGATAAACATCAGTTGCTTGTGTTATCAAAACGCACGCTTAATACGAGCTTTTCATAGTTCGCAGGATTCGTATCCTGAACTGATGTCACGGGAAAGGACTCGAAGGGACTTCACTCCTGGGTCGAGCTATCGGAATGATTCGGGGTCGTAGTTCGTTACAAGCTGTGTTGTGCCACTCAGGATCAGAAATACATCAAATACCTTGCGAGCTGGAATCGTCGCTGATTTATCCTGTACGGAATCAGGGACAAGTCCGATGAGAGAACAGGGAGTTCTTGTGAATCAGTGCATCAAATATTGGCGCGACTTAAGGGGGATCCTAATGAACCTTGTCCGATGGTATCACTGCTGATTCCTCTCAGGTGAATCAGGTAATGCATTATTTTACAATTGCATATTCTGATTTACCATTATATAGTTTTTAACGTGCTACTTTGCATCTTGCAACATGGTGTGTCACAAGCCACAAGTCAGCTATGGAAAAACAATACATCAAGGCGAAAACTTCGCCTCTGAGGTGGTAGTTTTGCTGTGGTCAAGGTGGGCCTGATGTGCGCAATGACGAAATAAACTTCCTGGATTGGTACCCCCTGCCCCAGACTATCCACTTCAAATAACGATTTCTTCTAATTTGTTTTCTCGGACCCCTTGCGCGACGTTGGTGAAATGTTTTTCTTCCGGACAATTTGCTGCACTTTCATCCACACGTGACCAAAATATTTTTCATTCAGATCGTAGACTTGTGAGCGAGTTGCTTCGGCAATAAGTTGAACAGCTCATAGCATCCTATGCTAGTATAAGTCTTCATTCAGATAATTAAAATCAAAAGGAACTCTACAGATCAATAAGGGGGCGCATGAGATCAACTCCATCTCGTTGTCAACGCCAAAGTCTAGCCGTAAAACAGTGCGGGTGATCAGCTTGGCGCTTTATCAAGCATGTTTTACAACTGACTATCTTACAAGCGCACGGGTGGTCGCGGGCAGACTCGCAGTGTGTTTGTGCTCTTTACGGCTCTGATTTACTTTTTAGAGGGGAGTTTTTACCAAATTGTTTCCTGGTCCGTTGTTTTGGTTGAACCACTTCTTCCTCCCAGCATCATGTTCAGTGATGCTAGTTCCACGCATTCATTGCCGAGGGTTTTCTGGAGTGCCTTTATAGGTGGCGCTCTCAGTTCAAGCTACAAGTGTTGGCCTTCAACAGGCCATGTGCTGAGCTGCCAGCCCTGCGAGAAATACCCATTCAGCTGTTGGACCCTAGAGGACATTTGGCTCGACCGTCACACGGAAGAGCATTGTGCTCGACCGTCACACGGAAGAGCATTGTGCTCGACCGTCATACGGTAGAACTTGTAATCGACTTCCATACCGAGACGACATTGCGCTCGCCTGCCAACTTTGACAGGACATTGCGGTCTCCTGCCGACGCAGAGGGGGGTTTTACGTCCTGCCGCCGACTCAGAGACGGTTTGCGTTTTACTGCCGGTCCAAAGAGGCCAACGAGGCCAGAGAGGTTTTACTGCCGTTCTGGGAGGACATCGGAATCGCCCGCCAGCTGGACATCGTAATCGCCTGCTCGCTGGACATCGTGATCGCCCGCCAGCTGGACATCGCAATCGCCCGCCCGCTGGACATCGCAATCGCCCGCCAGCTGGACATCGTAATCGCCTGCCCGCTGGACATCGCGATCGCCCGCCCGCTGGACATCGCAATCGCCCGCCCGCTGGACATCGCAATCGCCTGCCAGCTGGACATCGCAATCGCCCGCCCGCTGGACATCGCAATCGCCCGCCCGCTGGACATCGCAATCGCCCGCCAGCTGGACATCGTAATCGCCTGCCCGCTGGACATCGCGATCGCCCGCCAGCTGGACATCGTAATCGCCTGCCCGCTGGACATCGCAATCGCCTGCCAGCTGGGCATCGCAATCGCCTGCTAGCTGGTCAGAGGCGTTAAGAGGCAGGCGGGCGCCTCGTACCCACCGTTGAAGGCGGCCTTGCCCCAGCCGGACGCCACGCATCGGCCTGTGAACCGTTGGCCCGCGCTCGGCAGGCAGATGGGCTGCACATGGCTGTCCAGCTTCACCTCTCTCTTCAGCTCCAGCACCGCCACATCGTTGAACAGCGAGTTCCGGTTAAAACCTGCAGCACGAGTAGGCCATTGCTGTAAATACAGCGGCTCACCAGGTGACGTTCGCAGACAGGTTATTGGCTATTTTCGCCCCGAACTCTTCTGGCATGAACGAACAGCTGTAATCGGGCATTCCGAAACTTAAACATAAGTACACTCGCTTAAACTACGGCTCTAAATATCAACTCCCGCCAGCATATCAACATCATTGGTCTGAATCAACCACCATTGCATTTCCATGCTCACAAAACGTTAAGACTCATTCCGCATGGAGCAACAGAAGACAGCCTGAAATCGGCGCCGATCGGCGGCAGGTGAAGCGGCGGCCGCGTGAGGCTGCGGTGGCCGCCAGCCGAGCAGCGCCTACCCACCGGGGTGGACATGGATGCTCGAGACGGGCGCGTCCTGGTACGGCAGCGGCTCGTTTTCGGCGTTCACCTGGTACTCGCCCAACCGCACCTGGAGCTCCGACGCCTGCAGCCTAAACGTTCGACAGTCCGCTCAGTTGCTTTCTTCACTGGACATACGACTGAATCGGTAAGGTGATGGAACCTTTGCACAACAGAGGCCAGACGCCAGCATTCATTACGTAAGTAATGTGGTTGTCGGCGTCATGAACTGAATTGCTTTGGAGTGCCGGCGACCGATCCAACCAAAGTGCGTTCCGAGGGCATGCGGTCATTTTGCTACTGCCCTGACGGGCGACAGCATACCCGGAAGTTGCCAGATTCCAAGTGGCGTTTCGATGAGCCAGATCTCTTACAATCTCACCGTTGAACGCAGTGAGCGGCGGTAACGATGTGGCGCCTGCCAATGAGGGACCCTCCGCAGACGAAGGTGTAGTTGGTGTAGGATATAATAGCCTGCCATGGGAGCTCGCCTGTCAACGAGAACAGCTTGGTCAGTTCAGATGACCACGCCTGACATTGGGTTAAGCCTCTCTGATAACGTTGAACATTAGAACACATATTCAAAGTGCGAAAGCTGCAGTAAGTCGAGACCACATGCATGCAAAGGCATCGCTTTGAAGGTCACTGGAGGCGGAGCAACAGTTCGGAGTAATCCGGCATTATGCCGTCGCACACACTTGGAATGCACAATAGCACTGTTTGAAATAGACTGCCCGTGCGACAGGAGGAGTCAGGTGAGACGGCCTCGAAATCATCTAACTAGGCTGAAAGAGAGTGAGGCATATCACGAGACTGAATGTCTGTGGAGCTTAAATATGGGCCTGCGGTGTGAGCTGCCTGGGGCATGCGAGTGTCGGCAGATAGGAATGATCGACTGTCACGAGGTACGCTGGTGGCATGCAGTGTGGTGTGGTGCAGAGAGATGCGGGTATGCCTTGCAAAGTGCGGTAAGTCAGCGGCATGCAGTGCGATATGCAGTAAGCTGACGACATGCGGTGCGATATGCAGTAGGTTGACGGCGTGCAGTGCGTTGCTTTACTTGGCCACAAAGCTCTATGTGTGGTGCACTCAGTTGAACATAGTGTGTGTATATTACACTGAGCATGCGCGCTCGCGATTACTGTTTTGCACCTCACATGTGGACGCCTGCCAGCTTCTCGCGGATGTTGCCAGACAGGAGCAACAGCAAAAACTGGCACCACGTCTCCAGTGCCACGCGAAAGCATGGCATGGCAATACGAGGCTGTTATTTGGGTGTGATAGGTTGTGTGGTTCATCGACACCGCACAGGATGGTTTCGCCTGCCCTGAGGCTGTGTGGTGCGGTGAGAGGTGCACTGAGATTGTATGCTACGGTAAGAGGCGTCCTGAGACCGTGTGATACGATGAAAGGTATACTGAGACTGTGTGGCGCGTTGGGAGGTGTATGGAGACTGTGTGGTGCGGTGAGAGGTGTACTGAGACTGTGTGGTATGGCGAAAGGTGCACTGAGACTGTATGCTACGGCGAGAGGTGTACTGAGACTGTGTGGTGCGGTGATAAATGTACTGAGACTGCGTGCTACGGTGAGAGGTGTACTGAGACTGTGTGGTGCGGTGAGAGGTGTACTGAGACTGTGTGGTGCGGTGAGAGGTGTACTGAGGCTGTGTGGTGCAGTGAGAGGTGTACTGAGACTGTGTGGCGCGGTGAGAGGTGTACTGAGATTGTATGCTACGGTAAGAGGCGTCCTGAGACTGTGTAGCACGGCGAAACACGCACTGAGACTGCGTCTACGGTGAGAGGTGTACTGAGACTGTGCGGTGCGGTGAGAGGTGTACTGAGGCTGTGTGGTGCGGTGAGAGGTGTACTGAGACTGTATGCTACGGTGAGAGGTGTACTGAGACTATGTGGTACGGTGAGAGGTGTACTGAGGCTGTTGGGTGCGGTGAGAGGTGTACTGAGGCTGTTGGGTGCGGTGAGGGGTGTACTGAGGCTGTGTGGTGCGGTGAGAGGTGTACTGAGACTATGTGCTACGGTAAGAGGTGTACTGAAACTGTGTGGTGCGGTGAGAGGTGCATTGGGACTGCGTGCGACGATGCGAGGTGTAAAGGAATTGAGTGTACAGCGCAGGAATCGGATATAATAAAGGAATTGTGTGCACCAACGCGGTGCAGTGTGGTGCGGGGGCATCATGGCTATGCGGTGCCGTGCCAGGTATACTGGAGCTATGTGGTAGGGTGAGAGGTGCGCTAGCGTTGTGTAGATGTGCGAGGTGCAAGGGCTGGTAGTGCCGCGCAGGGTGCACTAAGACTGTGCGGTACGATGCGAGGTACACTGAAGCAGGGAGCTGTGCAAGCCATGCGGGGCACATTAAGGCTGGCCGGTGCGATGTGAGTCCAGTGGACTTGTGCTCAGCGTTGCGAGGTGCTGTGAGGCTGTGCAGTACGGCACGAGGTGTGCTGAGACCGCAGTCAGTACGGTACCGAAGCTGGCCTCAGTTGAGTCGGGCCTGACGCCCAGTATGCGGATGTCGAGGCTCCTGCCGCAGGTGTCCTCCAGTGGCGGCCGGCTCTCGGGCGGCAGACAGCACGTGCCGCGGCTGCCGTCCTCCGCTCGGCAGTACTGCGGGCGACGCGGGACAACGGCTCACTCACGGCGGCCTAACGCGGCTGCCGTCCTCCGCTCGGCAGTACTGCGGGCGACGCAGGACAACGGCTCACTCGCGGCGGCCTAACGCGGCTGCCGTCCTCCGCTCGGCAGTACTGCGGGCGACGCGAGACAACGGCTCACTCGCGGCGGCCTAACGCAGCTGCCGTCCTCCGCTCGGCAGTACTGCGGGCGACGCAGGACAACGGCTCACTCGCGGCGGCCTAACGCAGCTGCCGTCCTCCGCTCGGCAGTACTGCGGGCGACGCAGGACAACGGCTCACTCGCGGCGGCCTAACGCGGCTGCCGTCCTCCGCTCGGCAGTACTGCGGGCGACGCAGGACAACGGCTCACTCACGGCGGCCTAACGCAGCTGCCGTCCTCCGCTCGGCAGTACTGCGGGCGACGCGAGACAACGGCTCACTCGCGGCGGCCTAACGCGGCTGCCGTCCTCCGCTCGGCAGTACTGCGGGCGACGCAGGACAACGGCTCACTCGCGGCGGCCTAACGCGGCTGCCGTCCTCTGCTCGGCAGTACTGCGGGCGACGCGGGACAACGGCTCACTCACGGCGGCCTAACGCAGCTGCCGTCCTCTGCTCGGCAGTACTGCGGGCGACGCGGGACAACGGCTCACTCACGGCGGCCTAACGCGGCTACAGGCGCCTCTGATGGGCTTGTCCATAAACGAAACCGGGCTCGTCACCCAATCGCTTGAATAGTTCAGAGCACTCGAGCGCTAGGGTAGCTAGGTGGGGAGGATAAGGCGATTTGAGTAACACGAAAGCAGCCCCGAACAGAGCAACTCTGGGAAAGGGGAGCTCACTTGATTGGCAAAGGAAAGCAAGCACGAGATTAGTTTCAGTCGAACCTTGGGTGATTGAATCGCGTTTATAGCAATGCCGTGTATAATAGGGAGAGTCAGCTTCGTCGCACATGTAAACCATAAGTCTAAACTATGGATAGACCAAGTGAAAATTGTTCAGGTGACATCAGCTCCTATAAGGCGAAGAGCTGAATGGTCGGTATGCGGCAGCCTTGGCGCTTATGATGATGGACGACAACATATACGTGATTCAACTAATGCTGCCAAACAAACTGCATTGACTCAGAATCCGCGGACTGTGGAGTGTCGCTCCCTCTATTCAAGGAGTTGTCCTCCGTTCGTAAGACGCTATGTTGCGCACTGTTGCAACTGCCTGCCGGCCGCACCCCGTTGTTAGAGTTGAAGCGGATGTCGATCAGGCCGACGCCGTCGCTGATGATGTAACCGTCCGCATCACAAATGTCGGGTGGGACACACTGCTGGGACCCCTGGCACACGATTTCTTTGGGTCGGGGCCGGCTTGTCGCGGGCGTTGTGGTCGGTGGCCGTAGACAGCAGATGCCCTCCTGACCTCCAGAGTCCCGGCAGTACTGCAAGGCCGGCGTGGAACGTAAGCCAAGGCGTCAGAGATGTTTTTGAACAACACACTTGTGATCAAACTGACGCATTGTTTGAGCTGAAGGCCTTCCTGCGGCCGCGGCATATAATCAGGTAGTGTTTCAATCATGTCCGGCCAACCTTTGGCGGCGTAAGATGTCATGACATCAACAAACCAGTGCAAGGCTTTCTCAGCTATGGCAAACCCAGCGGAGCTGTCAGCTGCCTGTTGTCGCAAAAATAGGCGTGTATTGGCGTTCATTCTGCATTGTGCCACCGCGCGAAGCGTTTGTCTCGTTTCGGCAGTGCGTCAACTTCACGGACCTGCTTTCCCTTGATCCTGAGGTCGAGCAGGCCGGAGCCGTCGGTGATGATGTAGCCGTCCTTGCCACACAGGCCCGGGCTGACGCAGTCTTGAGTGCCGGCATCACAGACGACCTCCTGACGGAGCGGCTCAGAGGGCCGCGGCTGGCAGCAGCGGCCCTTGCCGCCCTCGGGCACACGGCAAAACTGCACGGCAGAAAGACGGGGCGGTCAGGGACCACGACAACGAGCTTGCGTGGGCACGGCTGGGAAGGGAAACATGCACAGCACCGCTCTTCACGCGATGTCCGTGTTGCACCCGATAAGTGACTTCAAACGCATGAGAACACATTCAATCCAGGTCGCATATAAAACTTACTGCCAATTCAAACCGAGAAAGCTTACAGCCACAACGCCGGTCCACTGACGTGGTGACTACCAGCAACATGTCAATCATAATCTGTGTTTGGGGTGTTGCACACATATAGGGGAAAACGCCACAGTCATGCCTTTGCATGCTCCCCCCTGCGGTATTATGCTGGGATTGACTGCATCGGAGATGCGTCCGTACCACTCAGTACGTGTCAGCGAACAAAATGGATTTAGTTCACACAAAGCCAGAACTTCATCACAGGCTACCGCAAAGTGTTGATAGGGATGTTGTGCGGTCTGCGTTGGTTTGGTTGGTTGCGCTGGTCTGCAATGTAGGCAGTGAGACTGACAGACCTGGCCGAAACAGAATGGCATGACAAGGATATAGGATACGCAAACGGCTTGGTGGATCAGTAAGCCTGCCAGCCTCACCTCTTTATCGGCGAGGAAGCGGATGTCGATCAGACCGGAGCCGTCGGTGATGATGAAGCCGTCCTCATCACAAAGGTCGGGTGTGACACACTGTTGGGACCCCTGGCACGCGATTTCCCGAGGTCGGGGCCGGCTGGTCGCGGGCGTTGTGGTCGGTGGCCGCAGGCAGCAGATGCCCTCCTGACCTCCAGAGTCCCGGCAGTACTGCCAGAACGGACACGAGGCGTCAGCGGAAGATCGCGGAAACAAAACCGGACACGAGGCGTCAGCGGAAGATCGCGGATATAAAACCGGACACGAGGCGTCAGCGGAAGATCGCGGATATAAAACCTTGCATTCAGGACCAACGTGCGCTTAATGTTTTAGTTGCTTATCCCAATATGCATGCTGTTTACCACACAAATTTGGCATGTGGTCCATGGTAAACGCACAACACCCCAGGGTGCCGGTGAGACGAACTATTCAGTAAATCATTATAATGCATGCACAATTGGCGCAACCCTTTTACAAGTTGCTGGTCCGTGGGATTGTTCCGTGCTGAGGCCGGCTCCCTCCGCGTCGTCCCTCTGCGCCAGGTTCAGGAATATCTTGCATTGGAATGCTGACACAGCTAGGTTTTCATTCGTCTGGCTGCATGTGGTCGTCGAGTCATTGGTCGAAGGGTTCTGGCCACGCCCCTCTCCCCGCGGTACACTGACCCTCCCGTCCCAAAGCGCCGCTTCCAGCCAAGCACCGACGGATGGTCGGACGCGCGGCAGGACGCCGTCCCCACAGTACTGCGAGACGCCCGTCGTCAGGCGTCCTCCCTGCATTGTTGGAACGGCTGGGCGTCGCGCGCTGAATTCCCACACGTGTGGTGGGGGAACTGACATAAGTTGCGGCTCGCGTCCCCGCATCGTGCATGGTGTGATGCGCAACACGTGCAGTACGGAACGTTCACATGACTGGCACGGTTGGCGTGTTGGTGCATCGAAGGCTAGCAATGAGAGGCGTACGTCAGTGGTAGTCCCACCATCATGGAACTATTGACCATCAGGGTATATGTATCACCAGTGACACCACGGGTGTCACTTCCAAGAATCGTTTGGAAAGGTTTATCCGATCAATTTGACGTCGTATTCTGTCAAAACACGACTTTTCCGTGTATTTCGGTCATTATAACACGCGCCTGGGTGGCCGGTTGAATACAATTCGCTCGGGCTCGGGTCATTTTAACCCCCTGAGATTTCAAAAACCAAGATAGCTAGACATACAAAATGTATAGTATGGATTTGCATATGCTTAAATTTGCTTGTGTCAAACTTGACGATTCCTTAGGTTATGAACTTGAGTCACATAAGGTAAAAAGGTCAAGCTTTAAATTGGTGTCCTGAGTGCCCCATACCTTGTCAAGCCACCGCTGTTGAGCTAGATACTTGTTCTAAGGAAATGTGAATGATGTCAGTGGCCTTGTTTGACCTTGATAAAGTCAGTCACCATCTATCTGCGAGATTGCTCTTATGTTGTCATTAGGATAAGCGGTTGAGTTTACGCCAGGAGATATGTTCCTAAAAACAAAACGTTGACCTGGGTCATTTTAGGACAGTAACCGAGTATGAACTTCAAAAATCCCATAGAACATGTCTGTTGTGGTCCGTGCCATTAATAACATGGAAATAATGACCAGAAACGATTCCCCAAAGTCATGTTCTCGAGTAAAAAAACAGGTTTGGTTCTGGCGTTGTGCTGGTCTTCATATCGGTCCCTAGGTCGATGGGATTGGTTGTAATTCCGAAGTCAATTTTTGTGTTGCCTTAGAAACTACCTCAGATGAGTATGGCTTTATCTAACACTCCGTTGTTGCACCACATCAAACGGTTACCTGGAAATGTCCTTTGGTGACAGCCATGGTCTGACTTTGGCCTACCATAGGTCAGCGACTTAAAAGGTACAACTAATTTTTCGCCTTAAAAGATCCGCTATTCAACTTTCTATAGCAAGCCATGCATAATTTGACTCTGTTACACCCCACCGGTGAGAAATAATTCTGCAAAGCCTTTGCGATCAATTTGAATCCCACCCGACAGCGTGTTAAGTTGCGTTGCCCACGTCAAAAAAGCAAAAAAAAAAAATGGTAAGATTGCTACAAATTCCAAATTGTGTTGCTCATCAATAATAACTTCCCATTTCGAGGCAACGTAAAGCTGGATTTTGCAACAACCTTATAATGGGATGTAGGCTCAAAATTCAGAGGATCTGTTGGGTCATTTTAATCGTGCTTTCATGTTTGAAGTCCAACGCACAATTTGGCAGCGAGCCACGTGTACCCCTCACCAACCTAGTTAGCAAGTCAAAGGAGCCCCTGGCAAGAGAAGTGCTCTGGTGATGACTCATGTCGCACTGACAGCAGTATGATCAATACTGCCTCATGTCATGTGTTTGGCATCCATTTCTAGTGTGTGAGCTCGTGTGGTGGCCATTTCGACGCACCGTTGAATGAAATGAGCCCTGCACATGTTGTGGCAGCATCGGTACCTCTAATAATAGATGGTGCCATGAGACGAAGAGACTGCACGTGCGTCCTCGGGTCATCCGTCGCGTGATGATGACTCCTCAGGCCGGCTGACTGACCTGCTTTCCCTTGATCCTGAGGTCGAGCAGGCCGGAGCCGTCGGTGATGATGTAGCCGTCCTTGCCACACAGGCCCGGGCTGACGCAGTCTTGAGTGCCGGCATCACAGACGACCTCCTGACGGAGCGGCTCAGAGGGCCGCGGCTGGCAACAGCGGCCCTTGCCGCCCTCGGGCACACGGCAAAACTGCACGGCAGAAAGACGGGGCGGTCAGGGACCACGACAACGAGCTTGCGTGGGCACGGTTGGGAAGGGAAACATGCACAGCACCGCTCTTCACGCGATGTCCGCATGACGCTCGACAAGCAGGGCGGCGCCAAGAATTTTGAGTTAGGGAGGGCGCGGGTAGGAATTTGTAAGGTCCATCCGGGACGGCATGGGCTTCCTCAGAGGGGTGTCCTGGGCGGTGTCTAATTCAGAGCGGGGGGAGAGGGGGTGCCGGGGCATGTGCTCCTTTGTAAAGTTGTGCATGCATCAATACTCAAGTAAACAAATGTCGACAGTTGGGCCATGCTAGCTTGCTAATCTAGCTAGCTAGCTATCCTAGCAAAGTTATCAGAAAACAAGACGTTCTGTGCGGGACTCCTGCCTCCTGGTGCATAAAGAAACTTCTGATCCAGAACAGGATCTTTACGATTCACAAAATGCATCTTTAAATCCAGCAAAGGGCCTCATTGCTCCAAAACGGGATACATTGATCCGGGCTTGCGGCCACTTGATGCGCAGGCCCGTAACCAGGCAGGTCCACTGGGTGCCCGGACATTCTCTGGGATCTGGGATGTACTCCCTTGCCTCGATCCGTGCAATCGCTGTACTTCATGGAGGGGGGTTTCACAGCGATTTGATGGAACCTTTTATTGTGTAGTGATCTGCACCACTACACAAGAAAACAGAAGAGCGTTGAAGTCAGCACTTGGCGCATGCCAAATTTGTTACCACTCTCACATCCTGTACATTTATCGCAGTTATATTTTGAGGGATTACGAAAGTTTTGTGCTGACAAATATTTGCTTGTCACATAAACCTGTCTTCCAGTTTATTTAAATTATGGGTCTGGCTTAAAGCCAGCCTTCGCCTCATCCTGCCTGCGCCCCTCATTGCTTCGGCATCATAAGATCTTAGAATGCTGTCATCGGCTTGGTCATGATGATTTCAGTCCACCGCAGTAGCGACTTTTCTTTACAAGAACATGCGTACCCCGTCCCGTCGTGCCAATGAGCCTGCCACACAACTTTTTCAGGCTGTGACATATGCGTGCCTGAAAGCCAAAAATCAGCCTGTCATTTTCGGAATCAACTGATGCCTGACGATGGCCGGTGGACTAACTGTCTGAAACGTTGCTTGCATAGTAACAGACAGGACGAAGACAAGAGCCAAACAACTTTTCATACCCTAATGCGAGTCAATTGTGTCAAACAGTCCGCACCACCCTGTGATGTTTTGTTTCCATGGAGTTTGAATGGACACAAAGAGAGCTTAAGTTCCACAAAATAACGTGGTATATTAGATTCGGCTTTTGTTTCGGCCTTGTAATTTAAATGATTAGCTGATGGGATGACTTGGACTTGAAATATCCTAAGTCTGAAGCTGCTGGCTTGGCTTCCGCTCAAAGCTTGAAGCCACTGGCTTTATATTTGGTCTCATGTGTTAAAACACGAAGGCATTGGCCATAATGGCTTTTTACAATGTTTTCTCACTTAACACAAAGTGGTAAACTGTATAGGTGAGGTGGCTTTTGTTGTTATTTATTTTGTTCTGTGTCCGTCGGTACCAACATTGATGGCATCAAGATGGTATACCCAGTTCACAATTGCAGTTCAACGATTTATTCAGCCTTTATTTTATACCCATTTTATTGACTGGCTTCGGCTGGATGATCTTTTAGTCCAGATTAAATTTTAAGTGTTGCGCATGCTTTTGGAACTGCCATTCTCATGAATGTTTAGACAGAAGGCAAAGGGGTAGGTTCTGAGTATCCTTATCGCTACGCCAAATCCCTCACTTTTGAGGTTGTCGTCGCCCATGGTTGATCTCAACGGTTTGCTGTGGGCATGCATTTTTATATGTTAGTCGGTGATGGACCTGGTGTCGCTTGTACGGATTTCTCCGGGCGGTTTTGTTGGCGAACGTGGTACACGATTTTATCATACGTGTTGTGTTATGACACGTGGCAGCGTGCGTGGAAACGGGCCAAATAACGCTGTCTCCGTTGACGGACATGGTGAGACTACATTAAAATGGTGGCCTGACAGATGTTGTCTTTATACGTGCCATATACGACAGCGTCCTAGCATGTTCCACTGCGTCTTTGAGCGCATCCTGCCTATTACCGGACTGGTGATGCGCATGGAAGAAAAATTCGAATGCTTGACGCACAGAGTGTGGCTTGGTGCGCCTATGGTGTCTGCTTAACCGATCAAATAACGCTCAGTAGCCGGCCTAGGGCTAGCAGCGTAATTTGATCCCTATCGTTTGTTTCAGCCTGAGGCTAGTCACCGTGCATGTTGATGTCGTGGGTGATAAAGGCAAGGCGGGTCCGGACTTAATATGTTTAGATGGAAGCAAACAGAGTCTGCGAGGCGCAACAAATCAGCCCAGCAAAATGTATCTGAATGGATTCCTTGGTGTCCATTTTTTTTAAGGTGAAATTTTTTTCACAAGTTGCACGGGTAGACGGCTTTGGAAAGAATTACTGTTTGGATAAATTCGCTGGTATCCATTTTGAATGAGTAGCAGTTGGGTTTGTACAGATTTGGAACAATTACGGAATTTGTTACAGGCAAACACAAAGTGTTGAGAAGGCTGCTGTGCGGTCTGCGTCGGTGTTATGTAAGTGGTGAGGTTGCTACTGACAGGCCTAGCAGAAACAGCGTTGCATGGTAAGGATACAGGATACAGGATACGCAAACGTCTTGATAGAGCACAAGCCTGCCGGCCCTACCTCTTTATTGTGGAAGCGGATGTCGATCAGACGGGAGCCGTCGGTGATGATGAAACCGTCCTCATCACAAAGTTCGGGTGTGACGCACTGCTGGGATCCTTGGCACGCGATTTCCCGAGGTCGAGGCCGACTTGTCACGGGCGTTGTGGTCGGTGGCCGCAGGCAGCAGATGCCCTCCTGACCTCCAGAGTCCCGGCAGTACTGCAAGGCCGGACACGAGGCGTCAGCGGAAGATCACGGATATAAAACCGGACACGAGGCGTCAGCGGAAGATCGCGGATACAAAACCGGACACGAGGCGTCAGCGGAAGATCGCGGAAACAAAACCGGACACGAGGCGTCAGCGGAAGATCGCGGAAACAAAACTTTAGACCGTCAATGATATCTACCAAATATCGTTACGTAGCATAAAGCACCGTGCGAAATATCTCCAGTCGTTAGATTAGTCTATTTGAAAAGATTAACGACTGAAGTCGTTCTTCAAGCATTTCGTTCAATAATTAGGAACATGCCTGCAAAAACATTCGGAATCAATGTGCGTGCCTATGTTTCGGTTGCTCGTCCCAAATTCATGCTGCTCACCATAAGTACGTGACCCGTGGTAAAAGCACAACACCCCACAGCACTAGAGCGGCTGACTATTCAGTTAATAATTGTTACGCATTTTCAATGGACCCAGCCCTCTCACGAGCTACTGGTTCGTAAGGTGTCTCTGAGCGGAGGCTGACTGCCATGGAGATGCCCAGATGGATGTCATAGGTGTAACCGCCATTGATGGGTCATAGACGTAATGTGGAAAAGTATGACAATATAAACTCCATCGGTTCTGACCCATATGACTCCACCATACGTCATGGGTGGTGACGACAAGCCGCGGTAGGGTCATTACTCAGCAATATTTTGTGAAATGATGCAGCCACTGCCGAGTTCAAAGTTCAAAGGGTCTGTTGGACTGTTTGCGCTGCAAATGCTTGGAGTGCAACGCACAATTTGACAGCGAGCCACGTGTCCCCCTCACCCAGCTAGTTAGCAAGTCAAAAGAGGCCCCGGCAAGAGGAGTGCTCTGGCGATGACTCACGTCGCTTGCAGTTGTGGATGTCTGCCATCGGCAGACATTCACACATACACATCAGTATGATCAATATTGCCTCATGTCATGTGTTTGGCATCCATCTCTATCCCATCTCTATCCCATCTCTATCCCATCTCTATCCCATTTCGACGCACCGTTGAATGGAATGAACCCCGCACATGTTGCGGCGGCATCGGTACCTCTCATAATAGATGGTGCCACGTGGCGAGGGAGACTGCACGTGCGTCCTCGGGTCATCCGTCGCGTGGTGATGACTCATCAGGCCGGCTGACTGACCTGCTTTCCCTTGATCCTGAGGTCGAGCAGGCCGGAGCCGTCGGTGATGATGTAGCCGTCCTTGCCACACAGGCCCGGGCTGACGCAGTCCTCAGTGCCGGCATCACAGACGACCTCCTGACGGAGCGGCTCAGAGGGCCGCGGCTGGCAGCAGCGGCCCTTGCCGCCCTCGGGCACACGGCAAAACTGCACGGCAGAAAGACGGGGCGGTCAGGGACCACGACAACGAGCTTGCGTGGGCACGGCTGGGAAGGGAAACATGCACAGCACCGCTCTTCACGCGATGTCCGCGTGACGCTCGACAAGCAGGGCGGCGCCAAGAATTTTGAGTTAGGGAGGGCGCGGGTAGGAATTTGTAAGGTCCATCCGGGACGGCATGGGCTTCCTCAGAGGGATGTCCTGGGCGGTGTCTAATTCAGAGCGGGGGGAGAGGGGGTGCCGGGGCATGTGCTCCTTTGTAAAGTTGTTGCATGCATCAATACTCAAGTAAACAAATGTCGACAGTTGGGCCATGCTAGCTTGCTAATCTAGCTAGCTAGCTATCCTAGCAAAGTTATCAGAAAACAAGACGTTCTGTGCGGGAAAACGGCCTCCTGGTGCATAAAGAAACTTCTGATCCAGAACAGGATCTTTACGATTCACAAAGTGCATCTTTAAATCCAGCAAAGGGCCTCATTGCTCCAAAACGGGATACATCGATCCGGCCTTGCGGCCATTTGATGCGCAGGCCCGTAACCAGGCGGGTCCACTGGGTGCCCGGACATTCTCTGGGATCTGGGATGTACTCCCTTGCCTCGATCCGTGCAATCACTGTACTTCATGGAGAGGGGTTCACAGCGATTTGATGGAACCTTTTCTTGTGTAGTGATCTGCACCACTACACAAGAAAACAGAAGAGCGTTGAAGTCAGCACTTGGCTCATGCCAAATTTGTTACCACTCTCACATCCTGTATATTTATCGCAGTTATATTTTGAGGGATTACGAAAGTTTTGTGCTGACAAATATTTGCTTGTCACATAAACCTGTCTTCCAGTTTATTTAAATTATGGGTCTGGCTTAAAGCCAGCCTTCGCCTCATCCTGCCTGCGCCCCTCATTGCTTCGGCATCATAAGATCTTAGAATGCTGTCATCGGCTTGGTCATGATGATTTCAGTCCACCGCAGTAGCGACTTTTACAAGAACATGCGTACCCCGTCCCGTCGTGCCAATGAGCCTGCCACACAACTTTTTCAGGCTGTGACATATGCGTGCCTGAAAGCCAAAAATCAGCCTGTCATTTTCGGAATCAACTGATGCCTGACGGTGGCCGGTGGACTAACTGTCTGAAACGTTGCGTGCATAGTAACAGACAAGACGAAGACAAGAGCCAAACAACTTTTCATACCCTAATGCGACTCAATTGTGTGTCTGAAACGTTGCGCACATAGTAACAGACAGGACGAAGACGAGAGTCAAACAACTTTTCATACCCTAATGCGACTCAATTGTGTGTCTGAAACGTTGCGCGCATAGTAACAGACAAGACGAAGACGAGAGTCAAACAACTTTTCATACCCCAATGCGAGTCAATTGTGTGTCTGAAACGTTGCGCGCATAGAAACAGACAAGACGAAGACGAGAGTCCAAACAACTTTTCATACCCTAATGCGAGTCAATTGCGTGTCTGAAACGTTGCGCGCATAGTAACAGACAAGACGAAGACAAGAGTCCAAACAACTTTTCATACCCTAATGTGAGTCAATTGTGTCAAACAGTCCGCGCCACCCTGTGATGTTTTGTTTCCATGGAGTTTGAATGGACACAAAGAGAGCTTAAGTTCCACAAAATAACGTGGTATATTAGATTCCGCTTTTGTTCCAGCCTTGTAATTTAAATGATTAGCTGATGGGATGGCTTGGACTTGAAATTTCCTAAGTCTGAAGCTGCTGGCTTGGCTTCCGCTCAAAGCTTGAAGCCACCGGCTTTAGACTTGGTCTCATGTGTTGAAACAGAAGGCACTGGCCATAATGACTTTTTACAATGTTTTCTCACTTAACACAAAGTGGTAAACTTTATAGGTGAGGTGGCTTTTGTTGCTATTTATTTCGTTCTGTGTCCATCGGTACCAACATTGATGGCATCAAAATGGTACACGCAGTTCACATTTGCAGTTCAACGATTTATTCAGCATTTATTTTATACCCATTTTATTGACTGGCTTCGACTGGATGATCTTTTAGTCCAGATTAAATTTTAAGTGTTGCGCATGTTTTTTGAAATGCCATCCTCATGCATGCTTAGACAGAAGGCAAAGGGGTAGGTTCTGAGTATCCTTATCGCTATGCCAAATCCCTCACTTTTGAGGTTGTCGTCGTCCATGGTTGATCCCAACGGGATTCTGTGAGCATGCAGTTTTATATCTTAATCGGTGATGGACCTGGTGTCGATTGTTCGGATTTCTCCGGGCGGTTTTGTTGGCGAACGTGGTACACGATTTTATCATACGTGTTGTGTTATGACACGTGGCAGCGTGCGTGGAAACGGGCCAAATAACGCTGTCTCCGTTGACGGACATGGTGAGACTTTACATTAAAATGGTGACCTGACAGATGTTGTCTTTATGCATGCCATATACGACAGCGTCCTAGCATGTTCCACTGCGTCTTTGAGCGCATCCTGCCTATTACCGGACTGGTGATGCGCATGGAAGAAAAATTCGAATGCTTGACGCACAGAGTGTGGCTTGGTGCGCCTATGGTGTCTACTTAACCGATCAAATAACGCTCAGTAGCCGGCCTAGGGCTAGCAGCGTAATTTGATCCCTATCGTTTGTTTCAGCCTGAGGCTAGTCACCGTGCATGTTGATGTCGTGGGTGATAAAGGCAAGGCGGGTCCGGACTTCATATGTTTAGATGGAAGCAAACAGAGTCTGCGAGGCGCAACAAGTCGGCCTAGCAAAAGTATATGAATGGATTCCTTGGTGTCCATTTTTGTTAAGGTGAAATATTTTCACAAGTCGCACGGGTAGACGGCTTTGGAAATAACTACGGTTTGGATAAATTCGCTGATATCCATTTTGAATGAGTAGCAGTTGGGTTTGTACAGATTTGGAACAATCACGGAATTTGTTACAGGCAAACACAAAATGTTGAGAAGGCTGCTGTGCGGTCTGCGTCGGTGTTATGTAAGTGGTGAGGTTGCTACTGACGGGCCTAGCAGAAACAGCGTTGCATGGTAAGGATACAGGATACAGGATACGCAAACGTCTTGATAGAGCACAAGCCTGCCGGCCCTACCTCTTTATTGTGGAAGCGGATGTCGATCAGACGGGAGCCGTCGGTGATGATGAAGCCGTCCTCATCACAAAGTTCGGGTGTGACGCACTGCTGGGATCCCTGGCACGCGATTTCCCGAGGTCGAGGCCGACTGGTCGCGGGCGTTGTGGTCGGTGGCCGCAGGCAGCAGATGCCCTCCTGACCTCCAGAGTCCCGGCAGTACTGCCAGAACGGACACGAGGCGTCAGCGGAAGATCGCGGATATAAAACCGGACACGAGGCGTCAGCGGAAGATCGCGGAAACAAAACCGGACACGAGGCGTCAGCGGAAGATCGCGGATATAAAACTTTAGACCGTCAATGATATCTACCAAATATCGTTACGCAGCATAAAGCACCGTGCGAAATATCTCCAGTCGTTAGATTAGTCTATTTGAAAAGATTAACGACTGAAGTCGTTCTTCAAGCATTTCGTTCAATAATTAGGAACATGCCTGCAAAAACATTCGGAATCAATGTGCGTGCCTATGTTTCGGTTGCTCGTCCCAAATTCATGCTGCTCACCATAAGTACGTGACCCGTGGCAAAAGCACAACACCCCACAGCACTAGAGCGGCTGACTATTCAGTTAATAATTGTTACGCATTTTCAATGGACGCAGCCCTCTCACGAGCTGCTGGTTCGTAAGGTGTCTCTGAGCGGAGGCTGACTGCCATGGAGATGCCCAGATGGATGCCATAGGTGTAACCGCCATGGATGGGTCATAGACGTAATGTGGAAAAGTATGACAATACAAACTCCATCGGTTCTGACCCATATGACTCCACCATACGTCATGGGTGGTGACGACAAGCCGCGGTAGGGTCATTACTCAGCAATATTTTGTGAAATGATGCAGCCACTGCCGAGTTCAAAGTTCAAAGGGTCTGTTGGACTGTTTGCGCTGCAAATGCTTGGAGTGCAACGCACAATTTGACAGCGAGCCACGTGTCCCCCTCACCCAGCTAGTTAGCAAGTCAAAAGAGGCCCCGGCAAGAGGAGTGCTCTGGCGATGACTCACGTCGCTTGCAGTCGTGGATGTCTGCCATCGGCAGACATTCACATATACACATCAGAATGATCAATATTGTCTCATGTCATGTGTTTGGCATCCATCTCTATCCCATCTCCATCCCATCTCTATCCCATCTCTATCCCATTTCGACGCACCGTTGAATGGAATGAACCCCGCACATGTTGCGGCGGCATCGGTACCTCTCATAATAGATGGTGCCACGTGGCGAGGGAGACTGCACGTGCGTCCTCGGGTCATGCGCGGCGTGGTGATGACTCATCAGGCTGGCAGACTGACCTGCTTTCCCTTGATCCTGAGGTCGAGCAGGCCGGAGCCGTCGGTGATGATGTAGCCGTCCTTGCCACACAGGCCCGGGCTGACACAGTCCTCAGTGCCGGCATCACAGACGACCTCCTGACGGAGCGGCTCCGAGGGCCGCGGCTGGCAGCAGCGGCCCTTGCCGCCCTCGGGCACACGGCAAAACTGCACGGCAGAAAAAAACAGTGTGCGGCGAGGAACAGGTTGTCATTCTGCGATGCACTATTCCGTGACGCAACTGTCCATGACTAGTGACGTCATGGAACACTGAGATTCTGTCACGAAACGCTAAGCCTCCAAGCCAGCAGGTCGCAAACCGGTAGAATGACGCTAGTACGTATGCTATTTTTTTGCATATTTTGTTATAGTTAGGCATCAGGCAAAGAAGATGACAGCTTCATCTCGATGGCTACTTCTTAAATGCGTGGACGACAAAATCTCTCTGTAATGATATCGCTCGTGTGCGTCATCCTATTTGTAGTCCCACAGTTTTATTTCGGAATTGTGTGACGTCACGTCCTGTTCTACCGATCATTCTAATACGCATTCCAATTGCCGCACGGTAAGCAAAGTTTACGAGGCAGTGCAACTGCACGGACCGTGCTGTTGCGGTTTTTTTATTTCCTTTCGTGGCCTCGTCAGGTAGCTCCATGCTACCTCACGATTAACATGAATTTTGCTCATTGTTTTAATTTTATTTACTGTCTCATCTGTCGGGATGATTTAAGGCTCACCCTACGAAGAGGAGCAGGGTTCAGACACCCTTATTTTTCAGCAAACCGTCCAAATAGCTTTTATAGCAGCGCAAAGCTTCCGGTAGGCTGAGTTTTGCTCATTTTCACGTATGTGAAAATTTGAAGCTTTAGACTCCGGCAGTTCATGACTCACGATGCCTTCCTTGGGCCTACATCATTGGCATTTTGGTCGAAGGCGACAAATAATGATTATTTCTTGCTGGAAATGCAATTTAAAGAAGTTAGCTAGGCTGTGTTTATCGTTTTCGCCACTCTAATGTGCATTTATATCGTTCTGGTGGCATTTGCAATGTCAAATCATCCCAGATCAAGTTGAGTCAAGCTCTGACATTTGTGTCTATACCTGACCATTTAAGGGTCATCAAATTTAAGTCTCAATGATATATATCTCACAGCTTAAAAAGGAGCTTTTGAGGCTGTTTCCTCTCATTGAAGTGTCCTGTTTAGTTCTTGATATGGCCGTATGAACCGATGCAACATTCATCTCTTTGACCTGACATAGAACTACCACAGGTGGATGTATATGGTCACTAGTGCTAATCTTATAGGGTTTTAGTTTCCAAATGGCTGACTTTCTAATCTTCCTCGCCGTCCTCCGGATTTTGGCAGCACTTTCACGGTGTACTTTCCTATCTAACGTTAGAAAAAATCATTGTACACCATTCGTCGTGTTAAAGGCAGGACGTATCGTAAATAATCTCAAAACAGGTAGAATCATGCTCCTACCTTCGAATTTCAATAACTTCGATGGCGAGCCCCCGAGCGCCGCGCGCACCGCACCGCCTGGACTCCCTAGCGCCGTTTCTGCGTTGCCGTTGCGTAAATACAATATTTCTGCTTTCCAAGAACTCTACAAAATGTACGGGACCAAAGTAAACCATTCGTCGTGTTCAAGGCAGGACATATCGTAAATAATCACAAAACAGGTGGATTCATAATCTTACCTTCAATTTTTTATAATTACGATGGCGAGCTCCTGAGCGCCGCACACACAGCACCCGCGACACCGGCGCCATTACTGCGCGGGTCGCAACATTACTGTGCATCAAGCAGCATCAAGAACCATAAAAATGTACCGGGTCAAGGTAACAAGAATCCATGAAATTTGATCCTCGACGCCAACGGGACCATGGGTTGCAGGGGGATTGGGTGGGGAATGTAAAGCAAAATGAGAACATGACAGCTAAATAAAAGCTCACTATATGGCACCTATATATGGCATGGAACATGGACGCCAATGGGATGCTGGGTTGAAGGGGATATAGGTTGGGGAGGTTAGGTTAGGTTAGGTTAGGTTAGGTTAGGTCAGGTTAGGTTAGGTTAGGTTAGGTTAGGTTAGGATAGGTTAGTTAGGTTAGGGTAGGTTAGCTTAGCTAAGCTTAGGTTCTGGTCTATTAGCTTATATCTAAGCTCATAAGGTCTATGAGCTTATATCTAAGCTCAGGTTAGGTTAGGTTAGGTCAGGTCAGGTCAGGTCAGGTCAGGTCAGGTCAGGTCAGGCTGGCTTAGCTTAGCTTAGCTATGGGATGCTGGGTTGAAGGGGATATAGGGTGGGGAGGTTAGGTTAGGTTAGGTTAGGTTAGGTTAGGTTAGGTTAGGTTAGTTAGGTTAGGGTAGGTTAGCTTAGCTAAGCTTAGGTTCTGGTCTATTCTCAGGTTAGGTTAGGTTAGGTTAGGTTAGGTCAGGTCAGGCTAGCTTAGCTTAGCTTAGCTTAGCTTAGGTTCTGGTCTATTCTCAGTTAGGTTAGGTTAGGTCAGGTTAGGTTAGGTTAGGTTAGGTTAGGTTAGGTTAGGTTAGGTTAGGTTAGGTTTGGTTAGGTTAGGCTGGTTTAGGATATGTTCTGGACTATTCTGGCCTGTGTGTTTCGTAAATGTACCTAAACTCGATAAGAAACGATTTTGGTTGCTTTATTATTGTTACCTTGGTTTGGTTTACTTTGGTTATTATTGTTACCTATTGCGTACATGTTTTATGGTTCTTGATAAGCAGAAATATTGTGCTTTCGCAACAACGCAGAAACGGCGCTTGGGAGTCGAGGCGGTGCGGTGCGGTGCGTGCGGCGCTCGGGAACTCGCTATCGTATTTATTAAAATTCGAGGGTAGGAGCATGATTCTATCTGTTTTGAAATTCTCTACGATATGTTCCGCCTTAAACACGACGAATGGTTTACCTTGGTCCCGTACATTTTGTAGAGTTCTTGGTAAGCAGAAATATTGTATTTACGCAATGGCAACGCAGAAATGGCGCTGGGGAGTCCAGGCGGTGCGGTGCGCGCGGCGCTCGGGAGCCCGCCATCGAAGTTATTGAAACTTGAAGGTAGGAGCATGATTCTACCTGTTTTGAGATTATTTACGATTTGTGCCGCCTTAAACACGACGAATGGTGTGCAATGATTTTTTCTAACGTTAGGTAGGAAAGTACACCTACACCGGCAGCACGCTCAGGTTTTGAGACAAAAGGTGTTCGTAAAATGTTAATTTGACCGTAATGAGCTAATTTAATCTGTCAAAAGTAAGATGCATTGTTTTCCAGCTACACCTACCTGATGCAGCTTGATAAGAGCTTTCCCTTGTCATTTTCCCCGTGGTTCTAGCTTCCTTAGTTTTGAGATTCTACGGGGCTCTGAGGCCCTCCTTTCGTAGGTTTCGGAAGGGAAAAATCCCAAAGGGCGAATGTGAAACACAGGACCGCAGCCAGGAGGACATGCCCTCCACCCGCCCCCTTGAATCGAGTTTTCTTGTTTTTCACCACAAATGGCTCCCGACAGAAAGCTAAAAAATAGTGTGATGCGTGCTCACTCCCCCCCCCCCCTCGCCCTCATTTGCAAAAATCCTGGCTGCACCCCCGGTCAAACAACAGTATAAATGAGAGTGGTGCTTCGAAAACTCTGTCATCAACAAACCTAACGCCATGAACTTACGTTATTCCCGTGCAGCCTGAGCACTTCCAGACTTCTGCAGCTTACCTCTCTCTGGAAGCCGCCCCTGGCGTTGATGAGGCCGATGCCGACGTTGCTGACAATGTAGCCCTCCTCGTCACAGTCGGGCGGCAGGACGCAGCGCTGAGGAGCCTGGCACTTCACCTCGGTACCACGGCTGCCGCCGGCAGGCCGCGCGGGCCCCGGCTGGGGCGCCGGGATCGGGCCCGGCCTTGGCTGGGGCGCCGGGATCGGGCCCGGCCCCGGCTGGGGCGCCGGGATCGGGCCCGGACCAGGCAGCGGGCGGGCGGGGGCGGGGCGGTCAGCGCAGCAGGTGCCCCGGCCCACCGGCGTGTTGCAGTACTGCAGACGGAGAGAGGCAGAAATGTCAGCCGTGTGAAATAGGCAGGGGGTCTGGGTTGTGTAGTGGAGCTTGCCTCTGGAACTGTGCAATCTGCATTTCCGCTGGAGGCTGTACTTCCTAATGTTTCCTTACACTCTGCATGCCTTGATGCAAAGTAGGTTATTGTCTATGCATCGTTGCATGCATGAAGGTCGCGTGATTTCGCAATCATAGCCGCTTGCCTCAGTCATCTATAAGTTTCATGTCGATACTCGTGACCCACTCTTCTATCATAGCAATAGTTTTTGTTTCTACGTGCACGCTTCCCGTGTTTTTTTTATTTAGGTACGAATTTCATGATCAGTATGTGTCTTCTTTCATAAGTAGCGTCTTTTGGTATTTGCATGTAAGTACTATGACCTAGTACCCAGCTCGTGGCCATCGCGAGAAGTATTCCTGTGGTTCAGAAATCTGAGCTTTTGTAGTGTAAAGGATTCAGAGTTGATTAGAACGTGACGCAGGTCGTGTATGCGGTTTTCATTGCTGAGATTATGTGTTAATGTTTGTAATTTGGCATTCCTGTCGTTATAAAATGTTAACTGGATCTGAGAAATTAGCCTCTTGAAATGGCATTCGCAATGATGAGGAAAATAAAATTAGCACTCGGTTGGTTGTTTTTGACCGAAGTCAAGAAATCATAAATAGAATTAAAGCATTCAAAGCTCAAACCAAATAGAAGGATATCGAAGAGACGGGATGAGATGCACCCACATAGCTCGATCTAGTTTTACACGTAAATAATTATTCCAGTGGCAGCTGGAGGCAGTCTCTGTTTATGAGTTCCCGATTGCTTGGAAATTGTAAGGAAAATAAACACAGCTTATTGGAGGTTGACGAGGAACACTGCTAGCGCAGTGTTTGAGAGCTCTCACTCATACATTTCTCAAATGTTTGCTTTTTGGACGGCTTTGTGGAGCAGCCTTGGGTCCTGGATGGTTTTGTGCACCATTGTCAGATGGCGTGAGGGTACAAGGCCTAAATGTTCACGAGCCTTAGGTACCGGACTCGAGGCTGGTAACAGCGCACTCGGTATATACACAACGATAGAATAGAGAAGGGTAAGTCCCTGTCTATTTGACAACTCGGAACCCCGCATTTTCCCGCCGGTCCAAAAATAGGTCAACGTGACGGGAGATTTTACACATTAAATACCGCGTTCGCAAAGGCCTGCTCGCTAAAATGCAACGTCAACAAAACATTCGTCCCGGTCAGTTACGTCTTCTGGTCCGATTCAGGACGGGCTCATCGACTGTCCAAACTGGCGTGTACAGCGGGCACCTTTAATCAGCCAGGCAGACTTCAATTTACTCGGGTCAGTCCTCCACCTACTTCTAGGGATTAATTATTTTCCCATTCTGCAGTGACGACACCAATTTCTTGATTATTTCAATCTAACATATTTCAAACTTGATACTGATCAGCAGGTTTTGTGCTGTGACTTTGCATTCAATTGGTCATCACCTAATAAAAGAGACAGTGTTATCCTTTTTAGCTAACGCTCCAGGCTGATTAACCTGCCGTTCTGCGGCCTTGCGATGATCACACACCGGTACATACCGGGCCAAACTCGGCCAAAATCTGCACTGGCAAAAGGAGATGCACACGAGCCCGTTCAGAGGACTAGGAAACGTCCGCCTGAACTGGGTGTGCATCCCAGAAAATATCTTAACAACTGCGTCACCGTCATTTTCGCTGCTTATTTTGCTGCCATTTTTGAAAATTAAAAAACAGGTACAAAAAATGTGATATGGCAACTTAAAGCAAGGTGCGCCCATGCAGTCGGAGCGCCCACGTGCGGACCTTTTGGTCGTGGGCTGTTTTATTATACAAAAATCGTGATTCCGAATTTGTGCAAATATGCGAAGCTTCTTTAGTTAGATAGATTAGGATCCACTATTAATAATTTCCTGAGATCATTGTCACAAATCATTGATATTTCTTTCCACACTGAGACTACACCACACGATCTACATAAGTTCTTCCGAGTTAGGAATAAAATCGCCGTCAAAACGGGAATCCCGTGATGTCCGCAGCTTGTTGATGCGCCCAAAAGTAATGCATCTATGGCATGGCGGCGGCATTTTGGGTGACTGAAGGTGCACATTGAAGCTGTTTTCAAACCTAGCACATGTTCTCGGTTTGAGCAGCACATTGTATTGAACCGTACTATTTGGTACTTCACTGTAATGCAATGCAATACAATACAATGTTCTGATCATCCCAGATAGTCCAAGGCAAATCAAAGCAGCCTTTGAATGAACCGTTTCACTTTCGCACATGACACCGCGGCCAGTGTGTGAATGGAAGGACGACTTCTTCAACAGCCACGGGTGCTGAGGCAGATGCGGCGCGCCGCGCACCGCTGGGCCGGAAGTTCAGTCGCGCCGCTGCCGGCGGTACATCCTCCCTCCAGGGCCGGCTCACGGCCTTGGCACGGCGACTACCACGCGTGCACAAGCCACCAACAGGATGACGTAACAGGCAGTGGGGCGCCTGGCTAATGTTAAGACGGTTGCATGCAACGGCACGATAGGCGGAGCGCAGAGCTGCATGCATTCGGAAGCCTAATGTCAGTGCCGGGACCGCGAGAAGGTGGGCACGCGTTTGTGGCAAGGACTCGTTTCAGAAAGACCGGAAGAGGGCGGAGTTCCCCAGTTCCCACAACGGGTGGAGTTTTCGGGTGTAGACCTTTCCTTGAATGTTCGTACCTGTTCTGAAGCCGTCTGCTATCCCCAGGCAATGTGACGCTTTTCGTTGCCTTCCTCTTGGTTCAGCTGTATAGCGGATACACTAAATCCCTGATGTCCCTCTTGCACTGGCCGCGTGTGGAACACAACAGTCCTTTCTTCCGATCCTCAGGTCCGAACTCCGTTCTTACTCAGTTCTAATACAAAGCCAGAGCCACATATTACGTTTCCGTCGGGGATTGCCCTCCTGCCGCCCCTTACAACCCCCCCCCCCGCCCCCCTCTTCCGCTCGCTCAGCTGATTAGTGCGCAGCTGCTCCGGGAAATTTGCGGTCGTGAGTGCTCTGATCCAAGACTGTGGAATCATCCGATCGCAGGTGCACGTCATTATTCGCACGCACCAATTGCTAGTTTCTGCTCCAACAGTACGCCCAATTACCGGCGGAAGCAATGAAGTTCTCGAATCGTAGATGTCGCAGCAGACGCACTCGGACTGCATATGTTGGCATGAAGTATCCTCGTAGATGCAAAGATTTGCATTGAAGATGCTTGAAAGTTATTAGCACATACGCAATCAGGGACCTACAATAGACATAACAAGAGACCAATCGGCGATTTCCGCTTGCTTCGCTGTGCAAAGCAGCAATATCGTTGGCACCCGTAGCGCAGCTAACACTGATGTACCTGCAACCTAATATGAACTCTTAGCCAAGCAATAACATGTAGATTTCTTTTGACATGCCCGGACTGCTAAGCGCTCTTGGGTCACTCCGGTCCAATGCCTGTGTAACGCCATTTCGCGCATCGAAACATGCTTTATCCAGGCGTGAATTGGTTGCCTTCCACGAAAAGAGCCGAAAAGAAGCTTATGGCTGTTGAAACTTACGACTAAGTTTCTGACAGCTTGACCCTTGCAGATTTCATACCTCTTACGTAAACGAAAAACGAAGCCCTGTTAAATGCCAGCCATGCACCATTCCAGCACGCGCTGTGACCGACGTCGTCATTGGGCCGGGATTATGGTTCCTCGTGGATCTTCCCAAAGGTCAGCTCGTCGTATGCAGGCGTGCCCTTCTGTACTCTGCGTCTGGAGAAAGGAATAACTGAATACCTTGCCAAAAACCTTACTTCAAAGGGCCTTCGCACCCAGTTTCTGATGATTCTTATGCCCTGGACACAGAAATCGCCAACTTCCTGGACGTCAGGTTCGTTATGATAGCCGTGTACATTGGTCATTCGTCATAAAGCGTCACATAGCAAATGTTTCCCATGCGAGCACCATGCTCAATGTTCGTATGCTCCCTCATTCACGGGCGAGTGGGACCATAGGTCGTGGTGTCTCGATTCATAACATGTTCTATGTTAACATAACATGCTCTTACTTCATAACACAACATGTAATATGTTCTACCTCAGCACATGTTAGGGACAAGCTTATTTTCTCGCCGTGCCGTGATAGCTTAGATTCAACTGGTTCAGTTCAATCAGGCCTGGTTCAGACCTTTGGCCTCCCGCCTTTCGTAGGCAGTAGCGGCCAACGTATGAGCCGCCTTTGATTACGCACCCCACCTGGGCCGCATTCCTCATCGTCAAACGCCGTCCACAAGTTGCAACCTATGACGCCACAGCGTCGCAGCAGATCCTGCGGCCTGGGGTGTGGCCACTTTTGTGTAATGTGGGCACTTATGATGCCATAGGTAGCAACATCAGGTAGGTACTTTTGTCAATGGGGAGCGCGGCGCAGGAAGTGGCCTGGCCCATGCACTCCCCTTCTCCGACGCCGCGGCAGCGCTGGGGGCAACGGCCCATGCACTCCTCCCCCGGCGCCGCGGCAGCGCTGGAGGCAACGTCTCGGGGAAGGGGAGGGGCTGCTGGGACCGTGACCCAGTCTGATTGACAGGCAGCGGGTCCCCACGCTGGCCGGGCCCCACGTGCCAGAGCCCAGACGCAGGGATCTGGTGCATGCACACAGGCACATGCCACGTGGTGGAGCCATGTGGAAGTGCGCGTTCGGTGGTGATTGTGAGAAGCCACCGATTACTCGGCAAAGGAGGTAACATTACTTTGGGCGAAGGATATGAGAACCGATCCAGTGAACCAAGGCTGGCGCCTTAGATGGGGCAGAGAGGCGAGTTAAGTGTTAGGGAGCCCTCATTTTCGGACGAGGGTAATTACGTCCATTAATCCTCCCCAACCCTTGCGTACAGCCATCAGTCCTGGGGGAGTGGAGAAGAGGGTACAGTTCGAATGGGGCGGGGGGAGGGGTGGAGGGTGCGGTACGCCCGGCGGCAGTGAAGGGCCCGGTCCGGTCAGGGAGGTGGGGTAAAGTGTCCAGTCCGGTCAGCGGAGGTAAAGGGTCCGGTCCGGTCAGCGGGGATGAAGGGTTCTGTTTGGTCAGCGGGGTGAAGGGTTCGGTCCGGTCAGCGGGGGTGAAGGGTCCGGTCCGGTCAGCGGGGGGAGCGTCCGGTCCGGTCAGCGGGGGAGCGTCCGGTCAGCTGGGGTGAAGCGTCCGGTCCGGTCAGCGGAGGGAGCGTCCGGTCAGATCGTCGGCTCACCGTGCTAGTCGGCTGGCGGATGTCGACCAGGCCAGCGCCGTCCGTGATGACGTAACCGTCGTCTCCGCACAGCTCAGGCTCAACACATCGCTGGTCGGAGGCGCACAGCACCTGCTGGCTGTCAGGGCTTGGAGACGAGCCGCCAAAGCCTCCGGTCAGGAACGGATTGTTCGCAAAGTGGCCAGGCTTGGACGCGCCGCCGCCAGCGCCGCTCAGGAATGGGTTGTTCCCGAACGGCGGTGCGGTCCTGGTAGTGGGTGGCGCGGGCGCGGGAGTCGCGGGCGTGGGAGATGCGGACGCGGGGGGCGCTGGCGCCGGGCCGGAGGATCCGACGCTGCCCGTCGTGTCCCGACAGCAGACGCCGGCCGCGGTCACGCCCTGGGTCGCCAGCTCGCACCGCTGCAGCGCCACCGTCGGCTGAGACGGGTCGGCCGGCGGCCGGACCAGCGTGCCCACCACGAAACCCGTGTACGGGTCGCAGGAGGCCTCTGGCACGCACACCAGCCCGGCACCGCACACGGCCGCCACCGGACCCTTCGGGCCCGAGCCGCCAGTGCCTGGGTTCAGGTTGAGGTCGGCCGGCGCGATGGTGCCGGACCCAGGGCTGGGCGCCGGCGCCTCACCGCCGCCGGGGGCTGCCTCCTGTCGGCGGTCGTCTGCGACTCCCGGCGCGGCGAACGGCGACGCCACGTTCGCCGCTGGGTGGTAGTCGGGCAGAAACGGGTTGTAGTGGCCGTCCCGCGCTACCCCGTCCAGCTCGAGCTCCAGCCCAGCGCCGAAGTCAGCGGTCACCGGCACGTCGGCGTCATGATGGCCGTGTTCCTCGGAGTTCGCCGCGTGACCGTGCTCTCCGTGCGCGTCTCCGTGAGCTCCGTGCTGGTGTCCGTGCTCCCCGTGCTCGCCGTGGTGTCCGTGCTCGCCGTGATCGCCGTGGTGCCCGTGGTGCTCGCCCCCCTCGAGACGCGGGTCGCCCGGCAACAGGTTGGGAGCGGCGCTGGCCAGCGCCACGCACAGCAGCAGCCCCAGCGCGCGCCACATGCTGACACCGTGGTCCGGTCACGACTGGCCGGCTCTGAGCGGCGCCGGCCGCCGGCTCGGCTGCACCTGCCGGCCGGCGGCGGCGCGGCCGGCCCCGCCGCCGGCTGAGGTTCAAGGCTGTCGCCCTCTGTCGCTCAGACATTGCCGGCTCGCGGAGCTCCTCTGCTACCGACCTGTCAGGCCCGAGTGTCACTGGCCCTAGCCACGAGTCTCGAGGTGGGTGGGTGAAAAATGTCTTTGTTGCGGCTCGTCCTGACGGGCGCTGACCCCGACTGGCGGCTCGCTACCGAGGTTTGCGTGTTGTCGGGGTCCGCGATCTTTTGTGTCATACCCGGTGTGCTGCACAGGACTGCCGGCAACCACGTGCAGCGGTGGGAACTGGCGGATTTCCCAGAGTGAATAGGTGCATGAACGGTTGTTTCGTACCCAGTTTTTTGTTTATGTGCATGGAGAGCAGCATGCAAGGGCGTTGTGGCACCGTCATGCTCCCACGGTCCTTTCGTGACGTAGCGGTACGGTTGTGACTTAGGTTGAGGGAATGAATTAAACCGGAGGCATTACTGACAGCCAACAGATAGAGCATCGATATAAGCGATAAGCAGGCGGGCTTCTGCGAAGGCCTCTTGAATAAAGTTATTTTAATATTAGAATCTAGTGGGTGTACTTTAATAATACTCAACATTTCTTACGAATTAAAAAACATAAATGTAACTAAATAGAGTTGGATGCAATCGTTTTGCTTTTAGCCCACGACAAAGCTTATTGCGGCATCTAAACATTATTGAAGAAGACTTGCAGCGTCATCGGTCCACCCAGCATGTGCCGTTGGCCGTCAACTGACGACTGCTCACGACTATTCGCCGTTCACCGTCTGCACTTTCTGACCAATGGTGGTGCGAACGTTCCAATTCTAGTGTACTCGCATTCAGCCAATCAACAAAACAGCTGCCAACGACTGCCATCTTTGTTCTCAACATTCGTGATGACTAGGCTGCGGTATGTGCTGGGCTTCCGGGAGGGCTAGGGCTCATTGGACAGTTCTTGGCAGTGGTCGAATGCGGCTGCAAACATGGCGTATACCGCACGATCGCTCACGGTCGGTAAGTACCGTACAACGCGTAGCGTTCATCGACCAATCGGAGCGTTTGTCGCTTCCGTGTGTTTTCACCGACTATGGTTAGAGTACCTCACAGGCTACGTACACTCATGGGTACCAAGATGGAATATGTGCGGATTGTGGCAGTAGGTAACGTAATAGGTAACGAGTTGTGTTGGACATTAAGATGGAGAAAACTGCGGGTACGGGTACGGATGCGACTATGGATTAGATAAAATGCCTAACTTTCGGGTAGATATTTCAAGAACTACTGCACATTGCTACAGATGGTGCTTCTTTGGTCATACTTAGCTTGATTCACATTACTTTTGCAATTGTCAATGCAAAAGAGTAGGTTTGGGAAAAGACTACCTTAAAGCTTTCCACAACTTAGAGCTTAAGTACTGGAAAAACTCCAATTACAAACGTTCTTTTATTCGTACCAGTAGAAATGCGCACGGTTTTTGTCATGTCGACGGTGGTCGCGACAGTAAGGAAAAAACGTAGTGCTGTTACAGAGCGTCGTAAGCGTGATTTGGACTCGAAAATAGTAAAAATTGATATCCATTTTATGTCTTGAAGGTGCTGCAGTGGCACTACCCAGCGCTATTATTAGACGTAACTAATGCTGAGGTTTCACTAGAGTATGTTTTTGAAACATGCCTCAAAGGTGGGACACTCCCTTTGACAATATTGTTTTTGCTTTGTTCACAGACGGTCAGCTAGATTCTTCAGAAACGTTAGCACTTAATCGCTGTCTTGGGAAATCGTAGGATTTGTAAAATCTTATTTTAATAGGAATGTTGTTTGCAGGGCCTTTCAATCCGGCGAAAACCTGGTGGCCTAGCCTTCTGCGCATGAATGAAATATAATTTACCATCAACGGCGCTAAAGCCTCGCTCAACGCTTGATGTTGAATTCATCGTCCTTTTTAAACTGATTTACTACAGTATGTTATGTTATTTTATGTTATGGTTTTGCTTTTTAATTAAAATAATTTCAGCTTTTAATGTAATGGCTTCAGCATAGCCAAAATCCAGTCGTGCTGTTTGCAGCCTTGGCCAGCATCTTATGCCTGAAATGTGATCGGAAGGAATCAGTTATATAGTTTTGACGGCTTGAATGCCCATTTCATATGACGTACCTCGCAAGAGGATAATTCCCGCACTGTCCTTGTATGTTTCTTTTTTGGTGTGATAGACTTCGAATGTGGCAAACACACTTCGCTAGGACTTGTTGATAAATGACTGAGCTGGGTTGTGGCGTAGCGTATAGCTGCCAGAAGTCCAGCATAGCAAATAAGCAGAAAAGAATGAAGAAGGGCTCAAAAAGTGTTATTTTCGTCTACCCTTAGAGGCATAGGGTTGCTGAGGGGTTGAGAGGAAAGGAAGAACTACCAGACGGCGACGCAACAGCACACTGATGGGACAATGCCGCATCGCAATTCTGAGATGCGGTAGCATTTCTTTTTCTCTCTTCCATGCAGCTCTCTCCACATGCAGATGGTTATGATGGCTGCAAGATGATTTAGATGATTAAGATGAAGCATGAATTTAGAAGATGTTTAAAGCGGTTAGTAGGACATGAGGCACTCATTCTATTAGAGGGATTTTTAGATCAAAGCTCACGTTAAGAAGTGCTTGTTGCGTGGTCCCCGACTCCGCCATCCGATCGTGAAATTTCCTGTCAAGGACATGATTTTGTGACGAATGTTGAACGCGTCATAATACTCGGAGTGATCGGTTCCCCACTCTGCACTCTTCAGACCTCTCTCGATGCCCTTCAGGGTTGGATCTAGGATTTCGTCAAGGGGGGGGGGGGGCGGGGGCTACGCGACATTGGGGGTCCTAGTGTTTAAGTTTATTGGTGTTATTTTTATGCTGGAACTGCGCGCACCCTTGCAGCGTAGGGCCTCTGGGTAGCACAATGAGTTCGAAAACCTACCAATAACCACTCTTTTAATCAGTGAAAAATGTTTTTGTCTGCTTGTGGCCCCTTCACTTTCGCCTGCGACTGCTCTTGGTCGCCTGGGAGCCCAAAGACGTCCAATTTGTTGCGCTTTGTGTGAAAACTGCGTCTGTTCAGCCGGCAAGGGGCCCTTCGGAGCCTAGGGGTAGATGCATGGCCTCCCCCCCCCCCCCCCATCTGGATTCGCCCCTGGACGACGCCTGGGCTTAAGCGCGACCGCTGCCACACAACTCCAAGCCATTCCACTTAGGGGCGAACAGGAAGCGCGAGCGCGCATGGGCAAACAGAACTCGAATCCTGCTCACCATGGGTTATCGAATTCGCAGGCAAGCGAACTGACCGGCGGAACTGAGCTCTAATCAACTGAGCTACCGGAACGCGCCGCAGTAAAGGTCCCCACCGTGGTTAACGTGCCGCGTCTCACTTAACGTTTGAATTACAAAGCGTGGGCATTTTCCAGCATATTTTCTGGATGCCGTCTGCGCCGGGCGCCCGATCACCTGCGCCCGAGCGCTGGAACGCTCTCGCTTTGTGTTTACGTTTTAAACTGGAACGCGGAGAAGGCGGATCGAGAAAACATGCAGTCTTCCGACTCAGGCTTTGATGCATCAACATCAATGGTTCAAAGAAGGCCGCGAAAGCCATCGTCATGGCTGAAGCCGGTGACTGGTTATTTGGTGGCATGACGCTCGCAAACCCGGAAGGATGCGTGTCACGTACGACGCTCCGGCGTTCTACCGGTTTTCCGAGAGTCGCCATCGAGCTACCGCCCGCCCCCATCTACACGGCCGGGCGGATAAGGATCAGTGATCTGACCAGTCTGAGGAGCCAAGCGGCTCTGCCAACATGGTGGTTTACCGGGCCCAATCTCGGGTCATGGCCCTTGGGAAACGGAGGGGGAGGGGAGCCGGTCAAGTCTGGTGCTGCTTTTCCTGAAGCGAACGCCCAGCATCGGCTGCCTGGGCCCGTCGCTGTCCGAGGCCGCTGGCTGCGGTGGGGCGCGTCGGGAAGCCATGCTTATGGGATTGGCAAACCCAGCTACCTACTGGCGATCTAATCTTCTCTTTGCTCCAGCCCAAGGAGCCGGTAGCTGAACACTACCGCCAAAGACCTCTGAACGTGGATCAGCTAATTACTGGTCCTGCCCGTCTTGAGTCGAGGTAACGGATCGACCACTTGATCGTAGGGTCATCAGACGATGTCGCAGCCGCGGGAGCTGTTCCCTGCAGCTGCAGCCACCCTGACCTGATGAACCCCGAAGAGGCTTCTGGGAGGAGAGCAAGCGGGCCCGCCAAGGCCGTGATCCACTCGTTTAGAGGTCTGGCGCCGGACGCGGGTTGACTCCAACTGCTGCCGGCTGACGGGCCACCGTTGGAAGCGCGTGGTTGGCGGCATGGACGTCTGCGATTGGTGCTATATACCGGTGGTCAAAACGCGTGCAATCGGGGACGCGAACACATGTATATATATATATATATATATATATATATATATGCGTGGAGAGAGAGAGAGAGAGAGAGGGAGAGGGAGAGAGAGGGAGAGAGAGACAGGGAGAGGGCGAGAGAGGAAGTGAGAGGGAGAGAGGTAGAGGGAGAAAGAGGGAGAGAGAGAGAGAGAGACAGGGAGGGAGCGAGAGAGAGAGAGAGAGGAAGAGAGAGGGACAGAGAGAGAGAGAGAGACACAGCGAGAGAGAGAGATAGCGAGAGAAAGAGACTGAGAGAGAGAGAGAGAGAGAGAGAGAGAGAGAGAGAGAGGGAGAGAGAGAGAGAGAGGGAGAGAGAGACTGAGAGAGAGAGAGAGAGAGAGAGAGAGAGAGAGAGAGAGAGAGAGAGAGAGACCTTGAGCTAGTCTCAGCATCCGGCACCAATCCCATGGGGTTATGCAACCGGGAAAATCCTACCCGAGGCGGTCGAGTGACACCTGGAGGTGATCCGACCGGGCGTCG